AGCACTCTGGGGTCATATCTTTGTGTTTCCAGCTGCTTGTCTTAAGTCGCCAGTCACGTCTACCAGAATGTGAGGTTGGTGAGAACTCATCATAATTCAAAGAGCTAAACCACCAAGAGGATGGTCAGTGGTTGCTTTTGAATGGTTTTCAGGACTGCTGATCATTTTGACTTCAAGACAACCACAGCATATGCTCTTTCAAGATCAATACTTTTTTTGACATGTCTACTAGTCAGGGAAGCATGGTAGGTTGCTTAGTGTGCAGTATTTCATTTATTCATTTCCCCCTGCTTCCCTCTGCACTTCTCTTTTCCTCTAGAAGATTCTTTCTCTTTGTGTCCACTTGCAAACTCCTACTGTGCATCCTCTAGTACACCTCTTAGACATGAAAGTCTGCTCTGTAATGTCTCCAATTCCCTCTACCTCCAGTTCTCTGATGAATTGTTTAGTTCTTCTTCTGGGCCACTTTATGTGCACCATCCCATACTATAATCATGGGTTTTCTTCTCATACTATTACTCTTCTTTATATCCTAACAGTCCAATACAGAACTGAGCAGAGAAGCAGTAATAAGTGTCCACTGAGTGAAAGTCAATCTAGTTGAGCAAAATTCAGTACCTTAATAGACTAAGTAGACCATATTATGTCAGTTGTAGAGTGGAATACCATGACACCATTTAAAATAATAATGCAGAAAAATGTTGTTGGCATAGAAATTTATGCATGAAACTAAACAAAAGGGCAAGTTATCAAGCATAGAAGTCATTTGGCCTCATTTTTATAATCACAACATATACAAGTATTCACATATATTTTACATATGTACCCATGTATGTAATTCGTAATTCAAAGAGCTCAACCACCAAGAGGATGGCCAGTGGTTGATTTGGGATGTTTGTCATGACCAATGATCATTTTGACTTCAAGAAGACCAGGGTAACATGCTCAGGTTGGAAGGTAGGTACTTGGGATCTGCAAATTAAAATGACAAAAGATAGATTAACCAGAGATAAAACATAAAAATTCTATTAATATTTTAATTTTATGTCAGCAGGGCTTGGTAGAAAAGAACAAAACATCCCCCAAAATGGTTATATTTGGGTGCATATACAACATTTTAATAAAGGGGGATAAACTATAGAGAAATGACTTGACAAAAGATGGGGGATTGGGGCTTCCAGGTCTGCTAAACTGTGGGAAAGTGACTAGTGTATATATGAAGGGGACTAATGGAAAATGAAAGTTATTTTAGTAAGGTTTGTTCTTGCAAACTCTTCTCAGTTTTCTCAGTCTGCAGTGATAAGGGTCATGTTCCTCCTCCTGGTATGGGAGAGAGGGGAAATTCATGCCATCTTCACAAGGGGAAATGAATGCCCTGCTTTTAGGCAGAGAAAGGGCAGGGTAGAAAACTTTTCTTGTATCTGTTCATTCTCAATTGCCTTCAGTTCAAAATAATCTTTACACCAAAGTGGCAGATTTTGGGGTGGCCTACTCTGAAACCCTTCTGATATAAATCTTCAGGCCTTAAGTCCTTCTGGGTCCCCTGACAGACAGCAGCAGTGTAAGCAGTGATGCTAATAAGGCCGGACAGGCTCTGTCCCCTCCCAAACTAGCTCAGGCACTTCAGAGTGGATGTGGGATGCCATTCCAGAGAATTCCCTAAAGGCACTGGGAAAGAAAGGAGTTGGATTCTCAAGTGAGAATCCACAGTGCCGGGAGACTGGATCTTTTTAGAGTTTTGGGTACCATCCGATTTTAATTGCATTGGTTTTGGTCCCAGCCCTAATCATTTTATGAGGTTGTCATCCATCTTTCCTAAACCCAGTGGCAGTAATGTTAGGAAGAAAAATGAAATGAAATTTCAAGTGTCCCAGTGTGGCAAATAAGAGAATCTGCAGAGTTTTAAAGCACAGCAGGAAACTTCATGCAATTACAAGGAGATGTTACTAATGCATTTCATTGCTGTTGAGAAAAGAAAATATCTTCTCTTTTTTCAAATGATTCATGCACATGTTTGGGGAAGGCTTTGTAGCTGGAATACTGGGCATTTTCCTGAATTGAATACTAGTTAATTCCTGTCCATTGCTCCTTACTCTAAACTTGACTCTTTCTTAGGCTTAGGATTCTTCTATTTGACCACCAAATAGCTTCTTTCTTACCCACCAGCTAAATCACACATAATAATAATAATAATAATAATAATAATAATAATAATAATAATAAAAGTAAGAAAAAGACAACCAGGTAATGAAGTTCTAGAGTTATTTCAAATCAACTCAAGCTGAGTTATGCACTCCTGGGAATTTAATCTTTTCCAAACTGAAGAGCCATCTGTAAGTTTGACAGGAAGGGTTTATTTAAATAGCTCTGCTTCATGCTCCTTTGAACTTCAAGATTTTAAGGACCCTTCAGCTTGAAAGTGGATGTGGCATTGGGCATGACTCAATGGACAGTCAGTAACGCACTAAGTGTTCTGAGAGCATTTGAAAACAGTTGAAATTGTTCAGCCCAGCCATGTCTAGAGTGTCCTTTACTTTCAGATTGCGGCATTATGAAATCAGTTTTTGCAGCAACTTGAGATCACCTATTTCTGGAATATAGTGAAATTAAAGTGGTCAGATAATATTCAGAGCACTAGTTAAATATGAATATGAAGGAATGAATCAGTTATTAGTATAATTAATGTTTCAAATATTGCAAGGGCATAATTAAAATGTTTTTAAATATGAAATTCAAATTTAACTCTTATATCTCTGTTTCCTAAGTGTGACAATCATTGATCATCTCTTAGTTTTGAAATTTGTACAAAATGGTGATGGGAAATTTTAAACATCCAATCAAGTTACCAAGGTTTACTCCTGAAAAAAAAATGCAAATTTCAAATTTCAGTAAGCAAGTATGTACACTTGATAAAATTGTGTTGAGTAAATATTTATTTGTTAAATTAAAATTCAAACCATCTACCATTATCATCTTAAAATATCAGTTTCTAGTGAAATTGTGATTCATTTTCTCTTAAACCTGGTAAAACCATGTAAAGCATAGAATTCACATCTCTAAAATCAAGGAAATGAAATAAAAAAATTGTTTTGCACTGGATGTCATCCCCCTTCTTCCAAAGGAAATCTACTATTGTATAATTGTGTAGCTTAAAATTTGCTTCTATGTGCTGTTTTTCCTGAATGTAACTCATGGTTCACTTTGGAAATGAATTGGCAACTCCTTGATTTAACTATTCCAAGGGCCTTCAGGAAAAAAGCAATTCATGAAAGACAATAGTCATTCTTCACAAGGCAGGCTGTGCATGATATGGAAATTCTTTAGGTGTTCATTGCCTGTAGGCACTGGAGGGTTAATTGAAATATTGTTTTCTGGAAATTGGGTTGTCAAGTAGCAAGGAGAAAGCAAGATTCAGAAACTAGGGCTGAGTTTGGGGGTTTTGTTTAGTTTTACTTTGTTTTTGTTGCCTTTTTTAAGGACGATGGCATTCTATTGCCTTTTAATGATAAATGTAAATGTGCTCTTGAAATATTTTATCAATGCTATTCAGTTGTACTGTGTAATTACTTTCTATACCCTTTAAAAAATATTTGCTGTAGAGTTGTATTTGATTTCTTTAAACACAGTTTGTTCCTTTCTGTAAAATCCTATCCATATAATAGATGAAGGGAAACAATTTTTGTAGGAACAATCACTGTGTTAATAAAAAGACATGAAAATATTTATAATGTATAGAAACTTGTAGTGACTTTAATTTTAAGATTTTATTTATGGGCTGGGGATGTGACTCAGTTGTATCATACTTGCCTAGCGTGCGTGAAGTCCTGCATTCAATCCCCAGCACCACACAAATAAAAAAAGAGATTATATTTAGCTATTAATGATGGACATAAGGAAATGTAGAGAAAGAAAAACTATTTGACTTTACCGGAAATATGTTAGGCATACAAAAAAAAATGAATTATATGAAGTCAGACTTGAAAAGAATCTTCCATTTGTGTTAGTCAGCTTTCTGTTATTATAACAAATAAAGAGATAACTTATAAAGATAAAAGATTTATTTTGGCTCACAGTTTTAGAAGTTTAATGATCGACTGGCCAGCTGGTTTGGGGCCTGTGGAAAGGTAGCACATCATGGTAGGAGTATGTGGCAGAGCAAAACTTGTCACTCCATCTAAATGGCTCACCCTGCAGGGTTCTGAAGTAAGTCAGTGAGAGATGAAGGTGAGGCTGTTGTGTTGAGTGAGGAGCTTCTCCATTGGAAACTTACTGGTAGATGCTCACAAGCCCTGGCAGTTGTTGGACAGAGACATTATTTCTTCTCAGATGATGCCTTGGGGTCTGCCTGCTTCTCAAGCTGAGCTGAATGGAACAAGACCACAGGAAGATATGGGGAAGGAAGGAATCTAAAGATGAAACAAAAGTTCTTACTTTGCCTTTTTCCTCTCCACCCCATTCCAGATTCTAAGTCTGTGGCCTGTTTCTCAAACCAAAACATTCCTAGTGGTGCTTTCAGATCAGTATTGTTTCAGTCTTCATTTTATTGGAAGGAGGTAGGATGCTACAAAAGGTTGAGAAATTTGATCCTATTAAATGTGAATTCTAGTACAGGCCTCTCCAGTGGTAAATGTGGGTGTTTATCTTGTTGTCTTGATTTACTATTTGTAAAATGCCAATATTAATGTGCTATTTGGAAAGTATGTTTCATGTCAAAAACATATAATGACACAATATTAATCCCAGTTTTCTCCTTTGCCCCGAGCTATCTTGGTTGCAGAAGTAAGACAAGTTTCTTCTTCTTTTTAACAATAGAAAACAGCCTAGGCAACTGCTGTCTTTGCCTTTCTGTAGAAGGAACAGAATGGGAACTTGGGGCCAGATGGAATAAGGCCCCGTTGGTTCCTGGTGGATCAAAACAACGTGCAACACCAGCAAAAGATGCTCCAGGTGATGGTGGTGCAGGCACGGCCCACTGACCACAGTTTGCAATTTTCTCGTAGGTAGACTTGGGCCTCCTGCGCTTTGTCACTGCTGTCGGCACACAAGGTGCCATTTCAAAAGAAACCAAGAAGAAATATTACGTCAAAACCTACAGAATAGACATTAGCTCCAACGGGGAAGACTGGATCACCATAAAAGAAGGAAATAAACCTGTTGTAAGTTTGGCTGCCCCCTCCCCCCCGCCCCAGCAATTCAGTCTCTTAAATGGATGATCAATTTTTACTTGTTTGTTTGGGAGCTTTCTGTCTGGCCTGGTTTATTTTTGAATTGATTTAAATTGAAAAGTGCAATTAGAGGTTTAAATCTGACCAAGGGGTCTCATGTTCCCAGATCCAGAAGCCAAGAGGAAATTATACAGATGTTTCCAAGAAAAGTCAATACCAGGCAAATTAAGTGACAGTCTCAAGAATCACTTTAACCCTCCCCCGGGAACACAGACAATGCATAGGATAAACACTGTCCTCTTAGAATCTTAAGAGTTTTGTCACTCTTCTTTCTTCCCTCTCTTTCATAGGTTAGGTTCATTCTTTCTCTCTGTAACAGGCACTTTTTAGAAACCACCTTTTCATCTACATTAGTGGTTTACAAACTAATTTACAAGTGCATCTGGCTGCATCTTGTAAGAAGGGGTAGAACTAAAGGCATTCGTTGTGTTCCCTCAGATCACACAAATGACATGCTGCCCTCTTCATGCTTTTAACTGAGGAGGTAGCTCAGACCACCCTGTGTCCCCCAGCTCTTAGCACTCAGTCGTTTGCACACATGGTCTGTTTTTCTCAGTCTATCTGTTTATTTGAAGTTACACTTCCTCTGATTTACTAATCAAAAGATTTTTGAGAATTCATATTCACTGTTTCTCCCAAATTAAAATCTTCCCCTGGAGGCTGAATAAAATACAAAAACAAAGACCAAAAAAATTTATATTAGGGATAGCAGCAAAGATTCAGGTAACTTGAGATTATGGGCTTGGAAAGAGGCCAGTGAATATGTCCTTGTCTCACTTTTGAGCATTCTTGGCCTGGAGTTTCTCCTTTTGGATCTGGAACTGAGAAAAGCCTCTGGAGGTTGAAGTGAACGAAGAACCATTAATTCCCTTGATTAGCAGCAAAATCCCCCACTCTTGGTTGAGCAGGCAAGATGGAAGCAGATATCAGTGGACAACTGCTCTGTGGGAGGAAGCCTCTGTGGACAGACAAGGTCAAGGCCTGTCTAGCACTAGAGGTCGTGGAACCTGTTCTCCATCTGGGGAAGAAAACCCCTCACCATCAACACATATGGAGATGTCAATTATGTCCCTAAGTTTGAACTCGTTATTTTAGAGTAGATTTTTGAAGATGTGCGTTAGTTAAAAATAAACAAAACTCCAATAATGCCAAGTATGCATTTACAAACAAAAGGAACCCAGAGAGAGGGGTTAAAAAAAACCTTACACACACACACACACACACACACACACACACATATATATATATATATATATATATATATATATATATATATATATATATTAAAAAGGGCTATTTCTCCCAGTTGTCCTCTTCAGCCACTGTCCACTGGTTGATTTTTTGTGGTTCAGAGGGGGTTGTCAGAGAGCCCACCCAGACTCACAGGGGATGTCTCAAAGTTCACAGGGCTCACACTAGGGACACCCTGGCACACAGCAGGGCTTCTAGGGTTGAAGGCAGAAAGAAATAAGGAAGGATTCAACAGAGATGTAGACTTGCCACCTGGATGAGCAGTTTAATTGAATCTAAATGAAACAAAAACATCCAGTTGGAGTCAAATTATTGCTACCTTTCCTTTTTTTTCTGTATTTTGGGGCTTTTCAGCCAAAGGCCTCTACAACTTTTCCTATTTTCTCAGGGAGCATTGGATGGACCTCATCAAGATCAGCCTTCACCCAGTAACAAGTCCAATAGGCCCCTCTCAGCTGGACAGAATGTGTGTGCTTATGGGGTTTGCCACAAGCCACGTGAAACTCCCTCAGTGTGAGCAAAATGTGAACCTCCTAGATGAGCACTTAGCACTCCCAAACAACTTCTGGTCTCTTTGGCAAGGGGGCTCGTGGACCTTGTAAGGAGAACTACGACTTTTGGGGCTCTTCCCCTTCCAGCAGCTACCCTTTATTTCCTGCCACACAAAAATTCTCCCACACATATTGTTTCCAGAGGGGGAAGCTGCAGTAGGACAGGAATCTAAAGGCCATCACAGGCTAGGATAAATTCTTATGTTAAATTGTCTCTTGAGAGGCTCATGCAGATAACCAGCTCTGTGATGCATTTGACTGCCTTCAGTCAAATGCTACTTCAACTAAAATGAAGCAAAAACGCCAGCCCAGCTTATGCAAGCCCTTTCTCCTGGGGAGAAGAGCAAACTTTGGGAAACACAGTTCTTCTCCATGTACTTATCTGGGAGGCTGGAGAGAATCTGCACACCCCTGGTGGGCCCATGCTCTTAATGATGCCACCTAAGAGGTTGTACAGAGAAGCACCGTGCTACCTACACAAAGCACAGGACTGTCCTTGACCCAGAATTGACATTGAAATCTCAGGAATGGAGACTTTCACTTATATCCAAGACCATTCTAGTGCCAGAATGTTCCACGAGGCAAACAGTCTCATTCCTCAGAGATCTTTTGGGGAATGCTGCCACTGCCTCATGGCCAGAATGGCCCAATGGATACTTGTGGGAAATTGGTTCTTGCCTGGCACTCTTTACATGTGCAATCCCGTCTCTCATCTTTCTTAGACTAAAATGACTTTTTTTTTTCTTTTTGGTACCAGGGATTGAACCCACAGGCATTTAACCACTGAGCCACATCCCCAGCCCTTTTTATATTTTTATTTGAGACAGGGTCTTATGAAGGTGCTTAGAGCTTTGCTAAGTTGCTGAGGCTGGCTTTGAACTTGAGATCCTCCTGCAGCAGCCTTCTGAGTCATGAGGACTAGAGGCATGAATCACTGTGCCCAGCTAAAATGACTCCTTTTTAAAACTAGAAGCAGAAACCCTGAAAAGGCTGACTTAGTTAAAAAGCATGTGTAACTCCGTTTTGACTTTGGCCACTAAAACCTAATTTTACCAAGGTTCCAAAAGACTTAAAGTCATTAATTCATGTCTGGGGTGAAATCTCTTATAAAGGGACAGAGTCAAAAAGGAAGATAGTACCTGACTTACTATGGTAGTGTGAGAACATAACCTACAACCTCAAAAAGCCATACAGCTCACTGAATTCAAAAAGCATTCTTTCTGGGGGTCCCTGGGAAAGGAAATGTCTGCAGTATTCTGCAGTCCTCTGAGAAAGTTAATAACTTCCCACTTTTTAAGATAAAAGCATGTGCCTTTTAATAAATGTCATCCTTTCTGAGAGGCTGTAGCCTCTCAGAAAATTGAATAGATAATTAGGACAACATTCTATATTTGACACGGTTCTTTCTGATTACCATCATTTGGAAAAATAACATGACAAGTTATTAACGCCACTTCAACTTGATAGACAATGCTGAAATTGTAAATAATTTTTACAAGCATTTGTGAAAATATATTTTTATTTGTTTTGAATACAAAATTTCTGTGATTAAAGGACCCTTTCTTCTCCCTTGAAGATCTTTCAGGGAAACACCAATCCCACCGACGTTGCTCTTGGAATTCTTCCCAAACCACTGATCACACGATTTGTTCGAATCAAACCCATGACTTGGGAAACTGGCATATCTATGAGATTTGAAGTATATGGCTGCAAGATAACAGGTAAGCTCCAGCTTGAAGATTGCCTGGTTTTGATTGGTGCAAACCTTCACAGGCAAGGAAAATAACTTGGTATTAATGTGATCACTTTTACTTAGTAGTTAAGAGTATACACTTTGGATCCTTACTACCCACTATTCTGCTTCTTTGTACAATATCCTTACATTTCAAAGCCTAAGTTATCTCACTTGGAAAATAGTTGTAGAACTTAAACACCATGCAGGTGACTTGTGATAATGGATATGAAGCATTTAAGCCCAGTCTGGCAGGTGGCAGAAATTTTTTCCTGGTACCTTTTCCACTAGGCTGTATGCTCCATGAAGACAAGCTTCATGCCTTCCATCTCTGCTTCCTAGGTGTGCACTTCACTGATGGGTACTTGGTAGATTTATAGCAAATAACTGTTCCATGAAATGTTCTCCACTGACTTTCTCTTTTTAATTTTGAAACCCAGTGATGATGGCCTAGGAACTTAACCAATACTGATAAGCCTCAGTTAAGGAATTTAACTGATGAGAATTTCTCCTTGTAATCACTAACTATCCAGACTCTCCTATTTTTTGTTGAATGAATACATTAAAATACTTAGATTGGAAATCAACTCATAAATGTTTGGGTTTTTATTTCAATTTGTTTCTTCAAACATCAATAGGACTTTAAAAGTCCCTGTTAAATGTGGAATACATAGGTGGATTATTCCCATTTGAGAGATGAAAAAGGTGAAATACAAGAGATCAAGTAATGGAAGAAGTAGGTCAGGTCAGGACAGAGTGGTGTGACTGGAATTCTTACTGTGTTTTCATGGTCATCAGTGCTGCAAGGGCTTGTCCATTGATCTCATTGTACAATTATTCTGTATTCAGATGTAGATAACAGTAATGTTGGAATTCCTTGCTGCTTAAGTAAATACATTGCAAAACTTTCATTAAAAAAGCAATGGCAATCCAAAAACCAATACAAATGTAATCTTTATAGTAAGCTTCAAAGTTTAAAAACAGATCAGTAGACGATCCACTCAAAGGTAATTAAAATTGAATTAACTTCCAAACTTCTGTGAACCATCTTTCAATATTCTACCAGTGTACTTATTTAGGATATTTAACTTTTTATTTCACTTTTATATTTATTCTCTTAATATGATTCTTTTTAGAGAAAAAAATACTGACTTTTGAAGAGGAAAAAAAAAAGGAACCCCAGAATTTTCCATGAAAGTGCAAGCAATTTGAAGATGAGCTAATGAGGGGAAAATACATTGTTCACAGTGGAGTACATTTCGGAAAATAAAAACCACATCTGACTCCATACCAAATTTTTATTTATTTCCATCTCAGAGGCAGACTTGTTTATTGTCTTAGGATCTAAGAATTAGAAAGTACAAGGACTTGGAGGCAGGAATTGGGTGGAGAGAGGTTTGGAAAAGAAGAAGAAAAAAAGAACACTGAAAATTAGACATAACCTTGGCTTTACTTTTGATCAGCAGTTGAATGTCAGAAAGTTCTACATCATTTCAGAGCATTACAAATTTGAGAGACTACCCATAAATTTGTAGGATTAGGGCCAATTGAGGTCTACATAGAAATTTCTGGCCCATTTCTCCAACCTTATCTCATATCATTATATTCAATAAATGAAGTAAATTTCATAAAGACTCCAGATATGTTGGGCTGAACTCTGAATTTCCAACCTTTTAAAGGTTTATGTCACATTCTTTTACTTATATAAAATATTTATTTGAACCCAAGTTGTCCTTTTTAATTTTCATAAAGACATTCCCAAGAGGAAATTCTAGGAATGTGAGCAAAGAAGGCAAATAATTTATTGGATTTTAAAACTGGCTAAATGACTTAGTTATTTAAAAATAGATGTCTAAAATAGCATATTCTAATATTTTTAAACATAGTCTATTTTATAATTATGGTAAATAGCTAATTTTGTTTTTCAAATAAAGTACTGCCTGTAGGCTCATAGTGCTATCTTTTAAACATGACCCCTCGTGTAATGTAAATACTTTCTCTCTAGTAAGATAGCTAGAATCTCAAAGTAACTGATCTGGGATGATTTTTTGAGAGGCCAGAATATAGTGATGGCCACATGAATAGAGGGTATATAATCATATCCAGGCTTGACTCAGGACTGTCCACTTAGCGAATGTCTGACCATGGGAAAGACATCTTGTTTCTCTGATGTCCATTTCCTGATCTATAAGATTAACCTTAATGTAGCTGTAAGGAGAATTAAATGAAAGCATATTTGCAATATACCTGGCTTTGAGTGAGTGCTCACTAAATGGTACCCAGTAATTTAAAGTAGGATGTGGTATTCCATAAAGTGAAGCCAGAATAAGCCCTCGCATGGAGACCTTCTAATAAGGCAGTATCAGGTAACTCTCTTGGTTATGAGAACAGAAAATTTTCTTCTTTTGAGGTCATGGTCCCCTTAGCATGGAGATTAATGAACGAGTAGAACTGAAGTATCCCTGTTGGACTAGAAAATTCATGAAAGCAAGGCCTCGGTTACCTTATTTTCCATTGTGTCCTTTGTACCTGTAACACAAGTATACAGTAACACAATAAGCACTCTACGGTTATTTTTGAATGAATATGCAGTTCTATCCATGCCTTCTAACAAGGAAGTGACCTCAAATTTTTTTACCCTGTCCTATTGAGTAGGCAGATCCTAACAGACTAGATATGAAAAACAAAAATCTACAAAATTAAAAATTACTCTGTGAACACATCACAATGACCATCTTAGATGCCGCAGCTAAGTCACTGAGGAAAGAGTAGCTTATTCTCATTTAGGGCCTCCCATCAAAAGCACCTATTACTTTCTCAGTCTTTGAAAACTGGTTAAATGGATATTTGATTTATCAAGATGTCTCAGTTTTTCCATTAAAGCTAAGTACAGAGATGTTACTGTAAAATATATATATATATTTTACAGATATATATATATATATATATATATATATTTTACAGATATATATATATATATATATATTACAGATATATATATATATATATATATATATATATATATCTCTCACTGGAAATATCCACCTCAGTCCCCTACTATAAAATTTTTTTCTCCCTCTCATCCAGGATTGAATGTTCATTTTCCCAACAGGTTGCTGGGTAAAATGCAGAATGTTCAGTGCAGATAAATAATGAATATTTTTTATATAAGTATATCCTCAATATTGCATGGGATATATTTTTTAAAGTATTCATTACTTTTATGAAATTCTTATTTAGCTGTGCATCCAATTTTTTCTTTTTTCATTTGTTTGTTTGTTTGCTAAAACTGGCAACTATTTCCAAATGGTTTGTAAAGTTAAGCTAAACTACATCTGAACCAGCCTACCTATAGAAGAATGCAGTTTGAAACTAGCATCTCAGTCAATTGAATTAATTGCTAATATAATTTTTCTCCTAATTATTAAAAGTAAGTAACATAGTTATTGGTCAAAGGCAGATTAAGGTGGCCCTTCATGGTTGTTTTGGATGAGGTGGACATAAGGAAGGAATAGCAGGTCAACTTTGCACTAGGAATATTATGTTAGCTGAATGGTGGCTCAGTAGCCCACGGTTTGTGGAGATATAAACTGTGCCTCAGCCAGCTCAGCATTAGAAAAAGGGCATTGATCTGGTGAAGGTTCTGCTGTCCTTACAATACTCAAGTTAATTATGTTTTTCTACAAATGGTAACATCTGGTCCCCATTACCAACTGAACATTGACTTTTATAATAGCTGGTTTTGAATCAGGCAGGTGTGACCACAGTGGCCAAAAAATGTGACTTCTATTTTTAACACTATAGTTTCATAGTCCCTCAGTAACATACCTTTTGTAAATCTTTTTTTAATCCCCACTGAGTTTTTTCTTGGTTTCCAGATCCCAGCCTGGAGCAAATACTGTGACTGAATTACAGGAAAGGGTATTTGCGAAAATGACAGCTGTCTTTTATTGTATTAATAAGTTGATTCATTCAACAAATATTTGCTGAGGACAACATCGTATAAAACAGTCAAAGAATGAAAGAAAAAATAAACGATTTGGTTCATGCCCTCAACAAAATTAAAATCTGAGGAGGCAAAAAGCAGCAATTTAAAGAACTGAATATGATTGTCAACATATGAGAAATGCTGATGTAGTATTGTGAAGAATCCCAGAGAAGGAAAACCATGTCTAGCTGCAGAGATTCAAAATGTTGAAGAAATGATTTGGCATTTGAAAATGAGTCATTATTTTTATGCAGATCAGATAGTGGAAATGGCAAAATAATGGGGGAATTCTTAGTGGAGAGAATGAATGAGAGAAAGCTTTCCCTAAGGACAGGAAGTACTTCATCTCAACTGGCTCATGTAAAAGGGGTAGATGAGGAGAGGCCTTGTATGAATGTGAGGTAGAAGGTCTGGCATGCCTGGTTGAAAACTACATGCATAATTCCTAGACTAGCAGGCACTGAAGAATTGACATGATCTGAACTGTCCAACTCATGTGGAAAGTATCTGAGTAATTAATTCTTAAGGGTCAACTGATAACATGAGTGTAGTTTAATTGCATTAGAAGCGTGCCTCTTGCTCAGGAAGGTTTTATTTTTAGGCTATATTTTTTACTGTTAGCATGGGGAATTGAGTTGTTTCAATGAAAAGTAGATTATCATCCCTAGGCAGGTTCTTGATTGAGATGTATGATTTTAAAAAGAGAATAATTGAAGCATTGGACACTTTGTTATTAGGCCACCAATCAATTAATCAATAATTGATGCTCTATGCTCAAAAGCTACTTGAGTTGGTGTAGAAGATATGAAAAGGTCTATGATGTTGTTTATTGCCTTTGAGGATCTTAAAATATTGCTGTAGATAAAATCGTAAACCAATACAGTTCAGTGCTAGGCTCTAGGCTACTTTCCATACCTGCCACCATATTTCTGGGGAGGGATGTCTCAAAATGAAGATGAGAGTAGCTTGAGAAATTTCCATGGTAAATCTAAGCTGGATTTTAAAGTCTGGGCAGAATATTCCTGTCAACATGAGGAGAGAGGGGTGGCAGGAACACACTGAGCAAAGGCAGTGATGGGGTTATATCTATAGTACTTGAAAACAGAACTAACTGGAATACGCTGTTAGTACTTAGATAAAAATAGACAAGTGAGGTAAAACCACAATGAAGGTCTTGAAACCCAGATAGAAATTTTTGATATTTTCCTAGAAATAATGGAAAGCCATGGTATATATTTTAAAGATCTCTCTTTTTTATTATATGGTAAAGTATATGATGTACAGTTTACCACTTTAACCAATTTTAAATGTACAACTTATTTGTAGTAAGTACAATTGCATTGTTGTACAACTACACTACCCATTTTCAGAACTTTTTAATCATCCTAAATTAAAACTCTACCCATTAAACACTGATTCCCATTTTCTCTCCCTACCCCAATGGTCATTCTACTTGCTGTCTCTATGAATATGACTATTGTAGGAAACTCATATTAGTTGGGATTATGCAGAACTTGTCCTTTTATGTCTGGCTTATTCTTTTTGGTAGCGGGAGATTTTTGAGCATGAGAATGACATGGCAAAATCAACATTTCATGAAAATTTCTGTACAGCCGTTAGTGTACTCTAGATGGAGAACTAGAGTGTAGGAGGCCAACCACCATATTATTTAGCCCCTTAGCTATGGCTTCTCAGATCACGATGATGCCCAAAGAAACAGAAACTGCAAGAGGCAACCTCAAGCTTTTTCTTTTTCTTTTTTTAATGAAATCATGACAGTATTTGATAGCAAAACAGAAGTACAAAATAAGAAAAGAGAAGATGACCAGGCAGAAACTAGGTAATTGGTGATGCTACCAATTAAAATTCAGGGTTCAGTAAAGGGATGCAGTGTCAGTGGAAAAGACTAGTTTAGTCTGCACATGGCATATTTGAGATGACAAAAAGATATTCAGGTGGAAAGTTCCTAACACAATTAAAAAGAAGGATGAGGAGGGGGAAGATGATTACTGTCCTTCAACACTCAACCCAAATGCCACCTCCCAGAACTCCCCTCTTCTCTCCAAGCTCAATCAAGCTCTGTGTCTTCACCTCCTTATCATCTTCTTTTTATCTTTGTTTGAGCAACTTTCTCAATATGGGTTTTGCTTCTTTATATATCTCCAACTGATGGTTAATTCTGAATTTCTTTTGGGCAGCACCTATCCTTGATCTGGGAGTAACTTCTGAATACTAATGGGACTGAACCCTCCAGAGTTTGACATTAAATGCAGCAGAACTAAAAATAATCAGGGAGAGGAAGTGTGTGTCTTGCTAAAACTTTTCCTTACTGGGATACGAATGAAGAAAGAGGAAATTCTATAAAAGTAGGAGAAAGATTTAAGGGAGGGAAGGCTCTGGTGTAATGTAAAATAATCCAAAGACCGAAAACATATGAATGGGTAGAAGACACTGTCTTTATTCAAATGGTTGCATTTTCTTTCTAGAAACTATTTTCCCATAAAATAATTTTACATTATCTGTTTCGTTCCACCTCCTAGATTATCCTTGCTCTGGAATGCTGGGCATGGTGTCTGGACTCATCTCAGACTCCCAGATTGCAGCATCCAACCAAGGGGAGAGAAACTGGATGCCCGAAAACATCCGTCTGGTCACCAGTCGCTCCGGCTGGGCACTGCCGCCTGCACCCCACCCCTACGTCAATGAGTGGCTCCAGGTGGACCTGGGGGAGGAGAAGATTGTGAGGGGCATCATCATTCAGGGTGGGAAGCACCGAGAGAACAAGGTGTTCATGAGGAAGTTCAAGATAGGGTACAGCAACAATGGCTCCGACTGGAAGATGATCATGGACGAGAGCAAGCGCAAGCCCAAGGTGAGGTCCACTAAGAGGTCCCCGTCGAAGTTCTTCCTCAATCCCCTGATGTAAGTCAAGGACTTCCAGCATTTTCTTGAGGAAGGGCTCATTCTTATTTTGTCAGTGGGACCCCAATTCTAGGGAAAACAAGAGTACAGGAAGGAAAGTGATGCCTGAGGTCAACATGGAAAAGCATCGCCCTTTCCCTCTTTAGAGGGAAAAGTCTCAGCTCAACATTCAGATGGGAGGTGGATAAGAGTGAGGTTTGGAGCTGGGGCTGACTGCAGACTCGACTTTGTCTATTTGGTGTCTTTTCCTCTTCTCTCATCCACCACTGGATTAAGTGTTCAATTTTTAAATTATTTATGTGTTTTTGCAGTGCTGGGGATCTAACTCAGGGCATTGGGCCTACTAGGCAAGCATTCTACCACCAAGCTGCATGCCCAGTCCCTGTTTTAAATTTTTAGTTGTGATAAAATACACGTAATTTAAAATTTATCATCTTAATCTTTTTAAGTGTACACTTCAATAATGTCAAATAAACTCATATTGTTGTGTAGTTAGTCCCTAGAACTTTCTCATCTTGCAAAACTGAAATTCTGTACCCACTAAATAACAACTCTCTGTTTCCCCCTCTCCTCCTTCTGTGGCAAGCACCATCCTATTTTCTGTCTCTATGAATTTGACTACTCTAGGAGGCTAGAGTATCATACAATACTAGAGTAATACAGTATTTGTCCCTTTGTGACTAGCTTATTTCACTTAGCATTCTGTCCCCAGGCTTCTACCAATGCTGCAGCATGTGTCAGAATTTCATTCCTTTTGAAAGCTAAATAACATTCCATTGTATGAATTCACCAAATTGGTTTGTCCATTCATCCCTGGATGGACACTTGGGTTGCTTCCATCTTTGAGCTACTGTGAATAATGCTTAAGTATATTTTTGATGTATCTGGAACCTTTTAAAAAGCTGTTGGCTCTTAATAATCCAGTGAAAACAGAAGGGAATCTCAAGATAAAAATATTCCAATATTTCTAAAAACATGTGGCATAATTCTTTAACTGAACAGATATGCTTACATAATCAACTTTTACTTAGGCTGATGGTTACATTTGCATTTCCTGAGTACACAACACCAACTTGGAAAGATTCCCCAGGAGTCTGCAGGGTGGCCCGGAAGTGGGTTTAGGATTAAAACAAGGATCAACCCACAGGCAATCAGCAGCTTAGTTTCTGTATTCAGTATGAGAATTGCATTCAGCTGATGATACTTCTCACACCAACACAATTGGCCTTTTGGCCTTATCCTTTCCATCTCTGCTTTGCCCAGGACCTTTGCAAAAGAAGAAAATTCAGCTTATTGGAGGGAATATTGTTCTTGCTTTATCCTTGCCCCCACTCCACCAAGTGTAGTGTAGTGACTCAGGCCACAGGCATCTCAGGCAGGAAATATAACCCTGGCTAGTGCTGCCAGCTCCCACTCCCTCCAGATGTGGGGCTCTGAGAAGATCTCCCTGTCCTCTACAGGCTGCAGGTCAGCATCAGAACAACTGGCCACCGACAGAGCTGGTACTCTCAGAAGAGTAAGAAATTCTCCACCATCTCTCCCTGTCTTACCTTGTGGGTTCTAAAAATTTTCAGTGCTATATTTACCTTTGTGTGGCTACTTTCTTTTCTGTGTCCATTTCTCTTTCCTCTTTTATGTCTACCTCTCTCATCCTGGTGACTGAGAAAGGAAAATAAACATCAGAACTGGAGATTCTTATAAGTTGGTCTTTTCTGAGGAGCAGGGAGCATTATGATTTCATCAGAGTGTGAATATGCTACAGATCAGCAACTTCCTAGGGCTGCTGTCAATGGCAGAGTGTGCTGTTGTGACACGTTCTTCAACACTAGAGTTCTGAGAGAGACAGAAAACAAATCACCATATGCTTTTGATAGGACGCATCATATGCTTGCCTTCTTTGTTATCTAATCCAAGCGTCTGCAATCGAGCCTAAAGCTATCACTCTATTGTAGTAGACCGAGTACAGAATTCCACAAGAAACCCATGCATGTGTTTTAACTTTAACAAAATGCTCAATTCAAGATTGGTTGAATGTGTTGGGTTTTATTCCTAAAATATCCATCATTATCATCTTCCTATGATATTTAAAACCATGAAAGCTTGTAAATTGTTTATGTAGAGACTAATCTATGATTTCTAACATGCCCTTCAAATAAAACCTCTAAAGATGAAAAAGGAAACTGATAAAACCTTCAATTTTAGAGCAGCACATAGTTTTAATTATATAAAGATGTTTAAAACATATTTTATCGTACAAATGAAGGCTACCTGCTTAGGATGCCAAGTACCTTTTAAATAGAAGTAAAATGAGTACTCTGCTTCATAAAATAAAACAGTACTTTGATAGGTATAAAATCCTCTTGCCCTCTCCTTACTCCTACCCACAAACAGTGCATGATGGAGAAGGTATTGACCCTTTAAATTAACTAGACTTTTCAGGAACAGATAGAGCCAAACAAAGCCCTTGTCTTCTAAAATATAATTAGTTGCAGAACACCATGGTAATTCATAAGCAGGTTTCTGCTATCAAAATTAGTCCAGGTCCATATGGGTTTGAGTTGTGAGTATTCTTCCCAGCTCACTACTGACAGCTTTTATAATATATTTACAGTGTGTCAATTCTATGCTCAAGTTAAAATTAAGAGAGGAGCCTGGGATTCCATAGATACCAATGCTTTTCTCCTGTGATCTTTGGAGTTATCTTAACACAGACAGACTTTGCACGTGTGCAATGGTATTTTCATTATAATTAGCATCTTACTGACAACAACTTAATTGGGCCTAACAATAATATATGTCAGATTCTCAATTACTGGCAGCAATTGCAGTTGTATCAAGAGTGCAGGACCCTGATAGTGAGACATTCTTTAAAATAATAATAATAGAAGAAAACTAATTGTGAGAAGCAGCTTTATGTTAGCATTCTCAGATTCCTGTGTAGGTTTTCTGAGTTGGAAAAGACCAGTTGGTTTACTTCTATAACTCAGAAACCCCCTGGTCATATTACAGCCTATCCAATGTGTCACCACGTATGTGCTTCCACTCTCTTGTCATAGCATTTCCACCTCTAAAAGATCACATCTTAGGTAGCTCTGTGATGTCTTGACCAACTATTGGGTCTGGTTCCCATTCATGACTGGCACTGCCTTAGGGGCCAACCAGTCCATCTGAGCTACCAGTTCTAGTAGCCAGTTGTCACCAGCTAAATACAAATTAATGAAACTATGGTTCCTTAGGTGTGGGCATTTTTTTGGACCTCAGTGTTCTCACCTATTAAAATGTAGGCCAATTGTGGTGACCTGTAATCCCAGCTATATGGGAGTCTGAACTGAGAATCACTTGAGCCCATGAGTTCAAGACCAACCTGGGCAACAGAGCAAGACACTCTCCTTCAAAAATAAATAGATAGATAGATAGATAGATAGATAGATAGATAGATAGATAGATAGATGGATGAACAGATAAAATAAGGAGTCTAGACTATATGATTTCTAAGAGCAGAGATGTCTTAATCCCAGTTAAGACTGGCTGGGTGCTAATCCTAGCTCTGCTCCTTACTGTTTACATGGCTGAGGCAAATTCCTTGTGCACTCTACTGTCAGTTTACCCATCTGTGAAAGATGAGTAATGATAGAATTTACCTCCTGGAGTTGTTTTGAGGAATAAATAGGTTAATATATTTTAAGCACTTAGTGTGTTACACTAATGAACACCACAATAGAAAATTTATTTTTCTAATCTTCCTCCCCTTCTTCCATTCTCAACAGATTCAGAGTGATTTTTGGAGAAAAGGGGATTTTGGAGGTTTATTCATTTCTTGAAAAACAAATGAGGCCTAATCTTCACTCCAGTTTCTTTTGATTCTACCCAGTGATTTTTTACCCTCCTGTTGATGTAACAAGGGAAATAAATTAACCCAGCAATAGTGCTGCAATAGTGGCCTAGCTCCTGAAAAGGGTCATAGTGCCTTCAAACTAGGCATGTATGCATTCCAAAAGGGGTGCCAATGCATACTACATACAATTCAGCCAGGAATCAGAGCATTCCTTGGTAGTCAGGACCCGGGTTACTTTCCTAAGATGAGGTCTTTTATCTACACATGACTCCAACAAGTAGTACTTAAGAATCTCAATGGGTTGGAATAATCCACTTTCTTAATAAGTAGCCTTTGCATTCCATTAAATTGACTGTCTCTAGACTAGGGGTGTAGCTCAGTGGTAGAGAGAATACCTGGCATACACAAGGCCCTGGGTTCTATCCCCAACACCCCCCAAAATAAATTACTATCGTCTACTTCAAGAATTTAATTTCTCCTCTTCCAGAGAACCAAGTTTTACCAAAACTAGGACCCTCTCATTTAAGTGAATGTAACTGTAGTATTTATTGAAAATGTGGTTATCTACTGTAGACTCTGGAAATGACTAGTTTTCTTCCTGAGTTATCTTCCTCCACCTCAGGGTAGTGATAAAAGTGTTACTTCTCCAAGGCATGTCAGTATATCATTCAGAAATATGTCTCGTTAAATGCTCAGTTTCTGGTACAGCCTCAGTACTTCAGTGTGTACTATGGGGTTCCTGTGAAATGACATCTGTCACCTCTTAGAGAAGGTTTGTTTTTTTCTTTCTCATTTATGAAAGAAATGTTCACCATTTTCAAAGTGGTAGAATGAGGCTTATTTCTCTGCTCTCTGAGGAGTCCTAAAGGAGGTGAAAGAGTTCAGGAAATGCCATCCCCCAAACTCTAGGGCACTTGAGGCACAGAATGTGCAAGGAAGGAATTTCTCTGAACTTCCTTATCTGCCTAAAGAGGTATCTTCCAAAGGAACTCAGCTGCTATGAATACTGTCCCAGGAATCTCATCCACTAGGGAAGAGTAAGGTCAATTACAGAAGAAGAGAACAGAGTCAATATCTCACCCAGACAGACATGTTATCAGCTATTCTTCCAAGAAACTCTTCATCTTTCCCAAGTCATTTACTCACCCCTAAGTTTCCTACATTGCCCCCCTCATACCTATGAAGAGGATATGTGAACTTCTAGATCTTGTTGAGTACTCAGTCAATTATCTCGCATGTTTTACCTTTAAACATGTAATAAATTTGTGCACCTTTTAATCTATCTACTGTTAGTTTATTTCATAGACTCAATTATAGAACCCTTAAAACATAGAGGAAAAGTTTTTATTCTCCTGCAGAGGGTAGAAAAACAATAAAAAAGGAGGTTTCTTTTTAAATACCTTGTGTTATTTATGCTTCACAGTCTTTTGAAGGCAACAACAACTACGACACACCTGAGCTACGGACTTTTCCACCTCTTTCCACACGATTCATCAGAATCTACCCCGAGAGAGCCACTCATGGCGGACTAGGGCTAAGAATGGAGCTGCTGGGCTGTGAAGTAGAAGGTAATTACAACTTCCAGAGTCCCTTCTAGTTTCCTCCTTTTTTTATTTCCTTCCTCATGCATTTCTGCCTCTGATGGTGCTTTTGCAAAATTGCCACCTTTTCACCCAGGTGACCCCTCCATCTCCTTGCCTGTCAATCAGTGAGGCTCAGCATTCTAGCATATACCATGAAGCAGCATCTTCAGAATCTTCCTTTTGTGCTAGTTGTTTGCATAACTCTCCTCAGATTCTATAGAATTGTAGCTCTGATTATAATTATGATTATTAATCATAATTGTTTGAGGCGAAATTTGCATAACACAAAATTCACCATTTTAAAATGAACAACCCCATGACACTTACTACCTTCATAATTTTGTTGTAAAACCACCATGTCTTTCAAGTTCCCAAACATTTCTTTTACTGCAAAGTAAAACTTCTTACCCATTAAACAGTTTCTCTTCTATTACCCTTTTCCTTAACCTACCAAGTCCTTTGACTTTTTAATATTGTTTAGAGTTCTGTATCAGATCTAAGTTTCTGTCTGTGATATTGACTACTGTCACCTACTAGCAGGAAGCAGCATTTGACAAGTAAGACATCAAGACTTATCTTGGATGAATTTCTTAGTCTGCTGCAAATTTCGTAGAAACAAAGTTTTACATGAGATCATGTGTATGAAAGTATGGTTGGATCTGTTTAAAAATATGACTACATACATTTAGATGGTTGTATGAAGGTCATAACAAGGACAAATCCAGTGCACACACTGACCTCAAGTCTGCACTCTCTTTTAACATATGATGATTGAGATGGATGTTTTGAGTTGGTTATTGTACATTTACTGCTTTTGTGCATTAGAATTCCCATCTGCCTTAGATTTGGGCATAAATGAGTAACCTTACACCGGCTTTCCTATCCTCATAGAGATTTTTTTTTTACTCCAGGTTAGCTTGAAGAATGGCTATTGTTGGTACCCAGATGTTAATCAATTGAGCATATGCTCATAGTTGTTTCAAAGAATGCTTTTTAATATCACCTTGTTTGGGTTTCAAAATTATTTGTGTTTTGAGCTAACCAAATGTAATTACATTCCTAAGCACATTAAATACCATGAAACTTTTCCTACACTACAGGATCTTAAGCTTTCTATCAATCACTAGTGAATAAATTCATGGCTACTTTTCTACATGTTTATTTAAAGGTAGGTCATTATCTCCCACTTTTTACTGAGTGGTTGTTTCCTTATCTGTAGCCATGTCCCAGACCTCTGAATTAGCCAATCGTTAGGAGCACAAACCAAGAATGACCATGTGACAAGGCTTTGGCAAAGATGCCAAGAGAAAGAAGGGATGGACAGATAGACCCTCCTTACAGACACATTCATTCTTTGCATGAGAAATGTGGTCATCTAGAAAAGGGAGGCTTGGTGCTACCAGGTGGGTGTTTAACCTAGATTCTGGAAGGCAGCAATGATTTAGGAGGTGGAAAGAATGGACAGTTGAAAACGCTGAGCCTTGTGGCAGTTTGCCAGTGTCAACTCAGTAGTGAGTGAGCTAGAAATCGTTGGTGAAGAGATTTGACTGCAGATGTTTCCAAGCACTCAAGAAAATGAGGAAGTCACCCCCAGTCATATGAGAAACCAATATCTGAGAGTAATGTCAAAGTTTTTTTTAACACAATTGGTGAAAGGGACTGTTATCTTTTCCCCTTAAATTGATCGACAAGACTTATTAAATATCTGCTTTGCCAGTTGTTCTTTGGGGAACATACTAAAGGGATACAGAGAAGATGAGGTACACGATCCAGCCTTCCATGAGTGTCTTTCCTATTTTGAGGTAGCACTTACATCGAAGAAACAGAACCACAGAAAATAAAATATTTTCAAGTAGGGAAACTGGGGCACAAAAATCATTCACTTTCTACATTTTGCTATTTAACCTAGGCACTGTCCTGGATTACTTTCAATATGGAACTTCTCTCTTTTAAAAAAAATATTTATTTCTTAGTTCTGGTTGGACACAATATCTTTATTTCATTTATTTTTATGTGGTGCTGAGGATCCAACCCAGGGCCTCGCACGTGCTAGGCAAACGCTTTACCACTGAGCCACAACCCGGGCCAAACTTCTCTTTTCTAAACAGCATTAGGAATGCAGAAAAATCAGTAAAGTGAGTAAATAGTTTAAGATAGTAAAAGCAACATATTATCAAGGACAGCTTAGAGAAGATAACTACGTGGATTTCCAGAAAGGGTTCTGCTGATTCAGTGGTGGCAATAGAGCCCAGGAGACATGTCTGTGCATTTTACAAAGTCTGCATTGCATATCTAAATGGCGTGTACAGGATGGTTTCTGAGTTACTGAATTATCTTTAGTGTATGTATTTGGGAAGTTGAAATAGTTGAAACTTAGCTATATTTTTACATTAGTCATAACTCTTCTCTGTACTTAAACACAATAACAAACAGAATCAAGTTTTTACTGAGAAAGCAGCAGTTACTGGTACATACCTACTAGCCAGAAGCTGTAAGAGAAGAGGCCCCCAACTCTCAGCATCTTGTATGGTTCTCAAACATCAAGGGAACTGTACCTTATCTCAAGTCTCATAAAGTGAAATGCAATCCTGAAAACTGTAAAATATTAAACAGATTGCAAAAATGAGTAACAGCCTGAAAAACAAAAAAGTAGACTGAACTAAATTTAAAGGACTTCAAAAGCAGTCTTTGATTAATGTTGGCTACCTTTCAACTACAAATTCAAAGATATGGGAATACCTGCCAACTCTGGAATGCAGTCCCATGGGAGTCCAGGTAACATGACCTCAGGATATATGAGACAACTCCTCTCACACACCTGCTCTGGCAAGAGGGCTCACAGGTTGAGAAGCTACTTAGAAATGGAATAACTCTTTTAAAAAAGAACAATGTGGTTCTAAGTGTGAATATTGATGCTCCCTTTTGGGGAAAAAGATCATACACCTAACAAATTTGGTCAATACTAAGTATACAAAAGAATTCATGACAAGCGAATTCTCTATCACCTTAAAAATGAAATGAAAAACAGTTCAAGCAAAATCTCTATCATCAGAGTTCTCAACTCCAGGCCAGTGAGAATTCAAGAGCTTTTCGGAAAGAGGATGTTTATGTAGAAAGCAATATATAAAATGCTAAGGCAGCCAGCTCCACTCAGCAGATACAGATCAAATACCAAAGCAACTCTGGTGCATTCTGCAAAATCCAAGTGTATTTAGCCTCCTGAAAGAGAGGCAAAGCATGGCTCTGGCCTTCTTACTACAGATTAGAGTTTTCTGCAAAAGCTTTAGCAGATTCAACAGCCCAAACCTTGAGAATACATTTCAGAGGTGTGAGACAGTAATCCTTGGATCTCATTTCAGCACCTACAGCTGGACCAACCACTCCCAATGGGAACCCAGTGGATGAATGTGATGACGACCAGGCCAACTGCCACAGCGGAACAGGTGATGACTTCCAGCTCACAGGTGCAGAAACCATCTTCATCCCATTGCTGTTCCATTTCAGTTCATGTGGTGGTTGAGCCCAGCTAATGTCTGTGTGTGTTCTAACACCTCATGGTGGTGGACATGAGCATAATGGCAAAGCTTCACTAGGAATAGAGGCAGCCTGACCACATCATCTTCATTTTCACACATCTCCAAGTAACCATTTGAAAGAATGGGTTGAATCCTTTTCAGATCCAAAGGTTAGGATTCTCTTAATTAAATAAGAATTTCTCCAAGACTGAATGTGCTAAACAAATACTCATCTTCAGACCCTAACTCCTGCCATAACGTGGTACACCACCCATTCAGAGCTACACTCTTCAAAATGTTCATTTTCTTTTCCTAATGAGGACAATATTTTTTTTTGAGTGGAGCTTTATCTAACTAATTGATTCAATTAGGCTTATATTTGAAATGCAACTTTTAAGTGAGGAGGATTCTATAAATCATTTTACATGAAAATTTACAAAGGTAGAATTAGTTGTTATTGCACACCACCACCACTAGCAAATATCTCAGAGATGGTGTGTGCTGAATGCCTCATAATTAATCCAGTATTACCCCAAATTTCTACAACCGTAAAAGCTAGAAAGTGACCTTCTCTTTTACTTGAAATGGCAGAGGAAAATATTAGGCAAGTGGGGAAACAGGATTTGGGAATTGACCAGGGAGCTAGAATTTGCTCTCAATTGTTGCAAAAGGTATCATGGGACCATAACTGCTACCTGGGTCAAAAATGCAGTTTTGTAGAGCATGTGACTCTCCTGTTAGATTAAGCTTGAACCTTTCAGTGCAAGTCTGTATTTTTGCCCAAAATAGACTCAGATAGCCCACATAATTAATTTCCATGGTCAAAACTGAAGTTGTTACCATGTAACTTTATGGAAGAGCCAGGTTATTGGCTAATATGTTCATTTAAAATTCAGGGAATGTCCCATCATTTCCAATTACTTCAGAAGCTCTTCTCTCAGGAGTCAGAGAACTCTGCACTCCAAAATGAAATAAAGGGTTAAAAAAATTTTCCCCAAAATTTAGTGTCCTATGAACTGGGTTTACCTTTTAATCCCACCTCCTAAAGCCATTGCTCCCCAGATTTCAAGGATTATCACTTACATTCACATAACCAATAAGCATTACATTGCTATGAGCTTTTGACTATAAATATTACATATAAGTAACCACAAGCCATGAAAATTAACTAATGCAGAGGTATTTTTCTATGTCAGATGTCAAGTTCAAGTTGAAAACCCTGATGTAAAAAACTACCATTCCATGAGTAGGTCCTGTGGAACCTTCCCAGGATTACTGTAACACTCTTTCACAAACCTCAGGATTATATAGACCTTGTCACACATCTGTAGTGAAATTCCTCATAAAAAGGAATGATCCCAGAATCACAATATACCCTTTTCAATTGCCCTCTTTTTGAGGGGTTCTTTTCTTCATAAACCCTAAAGTGGTCAGTTAATATCAATTAGAAACAAAGCCTCAGATTTAGTCCTTATATCAGAACAAACAACCTTCTCATTTTTTGCATTAGTTCATGACTGAATCAATTGAAACTGAAGCCTTTGAATGAAATAGGGCAAGTATGTTAGCCTGGAGCAAACTGTGTATGGCGGGGAGTCACAAACCACAGAAAATGGGTCATTTATAGTGGAAACACTGACAACCCTTTAAAAGTACAAGGTTTTGCTTTACCTACAATGTTTAAGATTGTTTCTTGAGTCGAGAGAGAAAAATTTAATTCTATTAGTATTTACATATTACCAATGGGGGGAAGTTTTCTCACACCAGTATATTTGTTTCAACAACTATTCTATGAATATATGCATACATTAAGAACCTCTGATGGTATTGATAATGCCCACCCCACATCCTCATCAAGAAGTAATTTTAAAAGATATTCTCATGCTTCACAGTCATTTCTTGCATCAAGGTCAGTTTTTCCTTTTGTAAAAGCATATTTTGCTTTATGAAGCTATGTGCTATTCTTTTTCAAAAAAAGGTTGTACTCCTATGAATTGTTTTCAAGGATTAAAACCCTCACCTAACCCAAGCACCTTTTTACATCTAAAAACTGCACCTCTGTGCTCACATGCCATTCCTCATCCCTTTTGCTAATTATCTCAGACTTTTCTGTCAGGGCTTTAACTTTGGATGTTCCGTGTAATAAAACCAAATCAAGAGCATTCTCACTTTAACCCTGATAGGTGGGAATGTGGAAATTGGGACCAAAGCTCTCTTTGGTGGTGTTCAGTTACTTAACACAGATGATGTCTATTTAATTTCTCCTCCTGGGGTGACCTATTTGTGTAGAGAGGGAGAAATACTCTAGAAAAAATGCTCATTACTTATTAACAACACTGAATTTTGGGTGAGCTGTACCCAGTATGTAGAAACAGGAGAGCCTTTGCTTTACCATGCTTGCTTGCTAAGGTGAAAATTTACCCCTGAAGTTACTTATTTGCAAATGCCTTTGAAGTCATTAGATAATACAATTGGCTTCAAAGGCATGAGGAGGCCAAATTTCACATTGGAGCTGTGTGTACCCAACAGTGGAATTTGGCTCCTAACCTATAACAAAACTGATAATGCATATCGGATATAAAAGTGAATTTTCACCTTGAATCTTTCTCCTCTAAGACCACTGGGAACAGAATGCTAATGTATTCTGGCCTCCCTCCAATTCTACCATTATAGACTCACCTTCTTAACCCATAATATATATAACTCTTTTTTCCTAGTGCCTGCCTTACTGAGGCCATGCACACGTGTGACCATTCATGCAGCATCTTTACTGGGAGAACTGGGGTAAACGTGACTTGGTGCTATAATTGATTAACTTAGAAATCTTAGACCATTCCAAGAGCACAGTTTTATATCTCTGTATTCATGATATCAGCATATAACGTGATTTCTGATCTGTGGGATCTGCAGGATAAGCTTGGCCTGAATAAATCTTTATTGAATAATACTGTTGGAAGGTGCATAATTATAACACCTTGTAACTATCTCTGAAATTTCCCATAAGTCATTGGCCCACCCCCATGCCCTTACCCTGAATTGGCCCAGTACTTTATCTTTTAGAATAAAAGATTTCCTCCAACCATAATCTGCATGACAGATACACTTAAGTAGAAACAACCTTCTTAAGCACCTAAGTGATAAAAAGCAAACCACCATTTCCTAAATTTGATGGATTATTAGACTCATCTGAGAATCATTGAAAAAGACAAACTTCAAGGGCTTACCCCTAGAGAGTCTGGTTCCTAGTTATGTCTGGAAAGGATGGGTGGAGAGGAAACTGCAATTGCAACAAGCAATCAAGGTCATTCTTAAGGTTGGGCAAGTTTAAGAACATTACAGAGGTTTGATGGTGTGTAGAAAATGGAAAAGCTGAAATGTGGGAAAGGGGGAGGTAAAGTTAAGTCTCCATAAGGTGGTGCCTATCCCCTGACCAGGAATTCCAAAGAAATCCGAACTCATTGAGAGCTTACAATACTGTGGATACTATTTGTTCAAGCTTCTAGTTCCTTGGGATGTGAAGAAACATTTATCTCCTTCCCCTTTCTGTGCTGCTTCCTGCCGCTTCTCCAAACCACATACTGGGTGGAATATTTGTCCTTGAGAAAAATAAACAGCTACAGCAGCAAAGGAAAAAAAGAAAGAGAAAGGGGTGGGAGAAGAGAAACAATTACCATCTACATGAAGCCTCTGATTTCTAAATAGATTGTGGAGACTAGCCTTGCAATGCCCCTACAGGCATACATCTGAAACCTTGGAAACTGTTTGAAGCTTAGAGGTCTAGGTCAAGATACTCAAAGTCATCCAGGACTTTCAGAGGCTCTTGCCTTTCACTGTTGCAACTGTTTGTTGCACTTAGCCTGGGAGTCAGTGCACGCCATTGGGACAAAGTCTCAAACTCCTCATGCTTTACAAAGAAATATGTTATGATATATTCAATACTTGAAACTTGCTAAGATAATGGATTTTATGTGTTCTCACCTCAAAAAAAAAAAAAAAAGAATAGGCGTGTGAGGTAATGCATATGTTAATTAGCTTGATTTAGCCTTTCTACAATGTGTGTGTATTGAAACATCATGTTGTACATCATAAATCTAGATAATGTATGTTTGCTGATTTAGTGAAATATTTTAAAACACAAGTGTGTTAGGTGAAAAGTAATGATATTTGCATTTGAAATCATGGTGGGCAAGATTTCAGTGAAACAATTGTTACAGCTGGAATTAAAGGAAGGATTTTCTGTAGCAAATGTTTGCCTCTGATTGATGTAAACATACATAGCTGCACATTATCTTGCATTTTCTTATTTTTGTATGTTATTTCTTTTGTTTTCCAGGTGGTACCACTGTGTTGACCACAGAAAAGCCGACAGTAATAGACAGCACGATACAATCAGGTACCAAATAAATGATAAAATGTGGTAGATTCCATTTGCCTCCTCCAGTGTCCCCCCAAAATAATGCATCATTGTGCTCTGTGCTTTCCGTTTCCCTGAAAGTCCTAGAAGGAGAGATGCCATGCAGCATCTGGTCTCCAAGCATGAGCCATAAATACTGCTTTCCTTTCATCCACATGTATATGCAGCAGGGAGTGAGATTTCCTTCTCCATCAGTAATTGCCAAATGGTGACAATCCCAGCTCTCAACCGAAGGAACTGAGTAACATACTTTGTTTAAACGCAGCACATCTAGGACATGGACTGTGTTTGCAAACTTACAGGAAAAGGAACTCTCACAAGCAGCAGCCTGACTATTTATTTTCATCTCAATTCTGCAAAACCGAGACACGCAAAGTTTGTCAGTTCTGCTGGCCACGGAGTTGGCAGTTGTACAACAGCGTTTGCAGTGGGCGTGCCACGCAACAGGGCTCAGGAAACCAAGAGGAGCGCCCTCAGGAACAGCCCCCTCATCCTTTTATTAATAGAAAAGGCTAATGACTTTTAAAGCCCTGGTGGTGCTGTTTATCAGTGGCCAGCCCCAGTGCCACAGTGACTCGGTGGCCTCCCTCGAGGTCTCTTTTGTTTTTTTTTTTGTTAGTATTCTGTGACATTCTTCCCCACAGGCACTCACGAAGGGAAACCGTCAGTATAAGCAATCAGAGGTTTTAAATACTTTAAAGTTAATCATTAGAGCAGGTGAACAGGTCAGTTTTCCAGCTTCTTCCATTTCCTTTATTGAAGCTCAGTCAGCCTTGGCCTCCACAGTCATTTATTAATGGGGCGTGTGGTGTGTATTAATGTTTCCTCAACAGTACGACACTCCCCAGCGAGGCAGAAAGTAGAAAGGGCCGCTCTAATTAGTATGCTTCCTTAAAGGACGCTGTCACTCTTGGCCCGATTCAACTGCAAAACAAACTTCTTTTTTCCATTGAACTTAATCCCAGATTTCCCTTGGTATGCTCAGGTTGACAAAATTCCTGCTGCCAAGGGGCTCACACATCCCCAGACACCAAAAGGTTTAGCAGAAGAATAAGCACCTAAATTCTGAAAGTTCTTAGCCTTACCCAGGTCTTTTCAAATTATAAAATGTGGTCTTTGGGGCTTGTGCAGCCACCCCTGATAAAGGAAGCGGAGGGAAGTGCTGCTTCTTCCCTCCCGGCTTCCTACCTTTCCTGAGAGTTCTCTGCCCTCAGCATGGTTCTCTGTGGAGAAGTGATAGTGACTGCCAGGTGGCTCTTTCTGTATGACTCTCTGCAATCAGGAAGAGGAGCGAGGTGAATAAATGGAGTTCTGATAATGTCACCCGCATTTTAACTGTTGTTTTAGTTTCTTCTCTTCCCAGAGAAGTAATTAAAGCTACTGTGAAGTTGCCAACTCGTTTGTTTTATCTCATCTCTCTTCTTGCCTATTAAAAATGGTAGGGATTTTTTTTTAAATGAAAGTGAACCACAGCTGTGGAGAAAATGGAAAATTACATCGAATTCTGAGACTGGAAATCCTCTCTAAATGTGGAAGGTCTCTATTATCAGAGCAGGAATGATTTGGGTAACCCATTTGATTTGTGCATGACCTCAAGGTCACTTGTGGGATGGCTTCACCAAGGGGGGCCAGGCAGACTCCTTATCTAGGGTCTGCTGTGGTTAGAGGGCAGGTGTACACAGCACAAACTAGCAAGACCCATTACTTCCACCATTTGAATGAGATCAGTTCAAACCATGCCGCTTGCTGATAGGGGTGGTCGGATATTGTTGGAATTTCACAGTTGGCCCACAGCCCTTTACAAATGGTCTTGATTTCCTGTTTTTCCATTGTCTGTGTTATGAATCTCATCTCCAAGCCTTCCTTGGTGGTTAATGGACTGTTGAACCCTTTTTGGAAGCGTTCTGTGCCTTGTCTCCTTCCGGCTAAGTCCATTCTCAGAAAGCTTCACAAGGACCTAAGCAGGCTTTGCGTCGGGGTCCCCTCTGTTGCTGTCTAACTCTGGGGTATTCACCCAGTGACTGGACTCATCTAATCAATACCTTGATTCATGCTGCTCTGCGGACTTCAGATTCTTCTGACATCTTCACAAGCAGCTGCAGATCAGACCCCTAAACTTTCATTATAATTCAATTTTGCTGGAGCCATTATAGATTCAGGCAAAGTTATTATGATTTCATTTTGAGGATTCTTATCATTAAAATAAACTCAGTGGGCACACAATATTCATATACTGTCTGGGTTCTGGTCAGATGCAGAAAAGCCTATTAATATTCCTCCTGAAAATGATGAGAACCCTGCATTTTTTAATCCGGCTCTCTTTGGGGAGGGCTCTTCTTCTCAGAGTTCTTTAGACTCCTGCAGCCCACAGCGTGTTCTTAACCCATGATTACATGGGCCTTGGCACCTATACTTGTTTGGGCTGAAAGACCAGTCTATGTGCAAGCAGTGAACTTACTCAATAGAAGCTTTGAATGCCAGATTTAAAAATTAAATCCTTGTGCATATATGGTGCTAATGATTCATCTGCGGGCAAGATAGGTTCAACAAGCGCAGCTGGTGCTTACAGGGGCTATAAATTCGTTTTAAGTTCAGAATATTATTTCCTGCTATTTTTAAGAGTCAAGAAGGGATTTAGCCAGATTATTCCTATTGAATTTAATGAGAATTGTGTGCAGCTACAGGGCCCTAGTAATATTTTGAAAATTTAAAGGTCAATAGTCCTATATATTTATTCCCTTTGTCCATTTGCCTTTTATTCTTGTCCTTTCTCTGCCTTTTTCTTCTCTCCTTCTAGGCTTGTCTCTTCCTCCCTTTCTGGCTTCCTTTTCTCCTACCTATAAATGTTTACAGGTATTTTGTGTATTTAATTATTTTTCTATTCTGGCCTGAATTCTCAACATTGAGCTACGTATTCCACTGCCCTCCCCAACAAAATGCATTGATTTAATAACATTTCTTTTAAATAAACAAGATGGCCATCAATTATATGAGCAAGGCAAGAAGACATAAGACCAGTAAAGTAGAAAAAAAACAGACCAGTTCTCCTAGTTAAATTCACAGGATTGGAAAGGCCTTTGGAAGATAAAGATGCCCTTCGCTGCAGTGATAAGAAATGCTAGAACTATCTTTCCAGGCAAAGCTGTTCCCTTCTCTGGTCATTACAAGAATATCCAAGTTCATATACTTCATGTAATTAGAATGTTAATAGTCAAAATAATGGACAATGTGGTTTTCTGCACTGTGGTATAAATTTAATGTATTAACAAGGCAGATAGAATCAGAAATGTGTGTGCTGTAATGGCTTTCTGCCCTCCTGTATGTATGGGTCTCATAAAGTACATTTCAGGAGAAAAATCAAAACGGCACTTACAGTAACATTTTCCAATATTAACATTCTCTAATATGAGATTATGCAACAGTACATTCCACGGCCATGGACGTTAACATCCGAAGTTGCTCAACCATTCTTTCACTGTTTAGTGGACTATTTCTTCTGCACAATTCATCTTGTTGCACCAGAGTGTGGTCAATTTGGAGGAGAGTTTCTCATCCCTTAAGGAGACCTGTTTCATGGTTATGATAGACTAGACACGAAATACACCTCTCCCATGACACTATAGCTGCAAAACACAGCCCTTCTGCACTAACTGACCATGCTCACATTAAAAACATCTCATGGCTTACTGCATTTTTCCAAAGTGGCCCTGTCCACCCTTTGGGAGGTCACATTAATACTGGGGAATCCATCCTGTTCATTTTTAACTATCCATATAGTGGGTTCCTTCCAAAATTTGATGTTAGCCTTGAAAAAGGTTCCTTGGAAACCAGAAATGTGGAGTAAATCATCCTTATCTATTTAATAAATCTTTCCATTAAAATTCCTTTGGCCATTGTTAAAGTGGGGGGAGGGGCAGTGGAGACCAGACACAGAGGGGAAAGCAAGAAAATCTGTGTTAAACACTTGGGCAAGTTAAAGAAAGACTCAAAATGAGATCTGGTCTCAGCCTGACCCTAAGGCAGCACTATCCAGACTTCCATTATTGTACATAGCAGTTCTTTTGAGGCTTAAGTTCAATTGGCTAGAGGCCCTCATCTTTCTATCCGTTTCAATGCTGCCATCTTGTGGCTTGCCTGAACTCAAGGAGACGCAAAGGCCCTCCTTCCTGGAGAAAATAGCCCTTTTGTATGCTTCTCTTCCTTTGGGGGGAGGTGAGTGTGGGACAGACAGAGCATGAGAATTTCATCTTTAGAATTATCCTTATTGCTAGCTTACTTTTTACCAAAATAAATTCCTAGTATCAATGATTTTCTGTTTTCCATTCTTAAAATGTCTAGCTCCTTTCAAAAAGGAGGAATAAAAGAATAAAGCTATGAGTTTTAGCACACAACCATAGTCAGCACCTTGTAAAACCCAGGAGTTGAATCATTCCTGTGAATCTATTCATGCTTTCTTTTCAGCTTCCAAAGGAAGCATTCTGAAGATTAAAAAAAATTAAAATGGGTGCCTATTTTAATGTGCTTTGGCTTTTCATGACCTTGCATTGGGGTTTTAAGTGGAGCGAACAATTTATATGCAAATTTAGAAATTCACTAAAAAAGCAGAAACTTATTCTTAAATTAATTGACCTGATGGAAATTCAGGGGGAAAAAATAGTCTTAAGAAAATGCTGCAAAGATTTCTACCCTGACTGACACTAAAGGCCTGAAACATCAGCTGGTGGGGTGCAAACAGACAGCTACCAGGGTGAGGCATTCAACCAATCCTCATCTCTAGGTTTTTGAGATTTGGGGGTCTATCTCTAATAACATTCTTTTCATTGATGGATATCAATTTATATGACTCATCCTCAAGAACAGAATATCTTTCATGTTAAATACTGTGGAAATAAGGAAAATGCTGCAAATGTAATATACGTGCCTTGGAAAGTAGCCTTCCTGGAAGTTTTATGTAAACCCAATTTGACAGGCAGTCCATAATCTTTTTAAAGCTGGATACAAAATAATAGTAATACTAAATGGGATTTTGCAAACATTTTGACATCTCCATACATCAATTGATTTCTTGGTAATCCTGGATTTTGTGGCTTTCCCAGAATTTTTGAACGGATGTGAAGTTATAAAAATCATGCTGTTCGTGATCGTATAAAAGGCCTTTTTGACCCTGAATGATTAAATTTGTCTTTCTCTGCTTGTCTCTGTTTTTCCTTTCCACCCACTGAAGAGTTTCCAACATATGGTTTTAACTGTGAGTTTGGCTGGGGCTCTCACAAGACATTCTGTCACTGGGAACATGACAATCACGTACAGCTCAAGTGGAGTGTCCTCACCAGCAAAACAGGACCCATTCAGGATCATACAGGTAAAGGGGAGGGCACTATGGTCTAAGGGCATTGCAAATCCTTTTTGGTAAAAGAAGATACTACTGGGGGTTGGGGGTGTCTGGTACCTGTGAATTTAGGGGCCTTAGAAAATACTATAATCATTTTCTAATTTTCTGAATAAACAAGTTCTCATTCCCAGGTAGAGAAGAGCTTAGGGCAAATAATAAGAATACGATTGAATTGAGCCACTGACTAGCCTCCTTTAAGAGCAGCAAACTGGGAAAGGATAGGTGAATTCATTCTCGTCTTACACTTTTTCTGAACTTTTTACTGAAACAATTTTAAACATATTCAACTGCAAAAAAATGAAATAGTGAACACTATATGAGCATACCTCTCCTTCAACAATAATCACATCATAAGAATCTTATTTCTTCTCTATCATCCCTGACTCTGGATTATTTATCTCTGTCATTCCCAACTCTGGATTACTTTATGTCCAGGCATTATGTGTTTTCACTGATTTTACAACTAAAGAAGCAAGAAGCCAGTCCAATGCTTACAAAATGGGTGAGATTCTTATTCTCTGGGGCAAGACTTTTAAATCTTTTCTCCTGCCATGTAGGAACCTTACCACACCCCAGCTCACAACCCATCCCCCCTCATCCCTTATTTTTCTCCTAAGATTAATGGGTGAGGAAGGAAGGAATTAGAAAACAAAGAGAGCTGACATTGCTCCAGTGAACTCTTTTTCCACCTCCATCCTGTTCCCCTCCTAATCATTTTATCACTTTTATAACTTCGAGGTACCATATAAAGAATCAGTAGGTTCCTGCCAAGAAGTCTCTCTCAGTCTCTCTCTCTCTCTCTCTCTCTCTCTCTCTCTCTCACACACACACACACACACACACACACACACACACCACAAACTACACTTAAATAAACACACTTACAACAAAACCCAAACTCCTACTCCACTCAGTGATACAGAAGACTGCTTACTCAAATAATGGCTTCCCATAAGGTACCCCAGAGGGGCATTTGGAGATGCTGAGAAATCTGATTAAGTTCTCTCCGGACTGGTAGAGTAGTTGACTGGGTCTGTGGGCTGACGGCTGGGCACAGGGCTCTTCATGCATTTCCCATTTTGTTGTTCACTTTTTTCTCAGTGAACATAACCATTAAGTAGGTTGAATAGGCCTCCTTCCACCACGGCTACCTCCTTGCCTAATGAGAATGACAAGGAAATTGGATAAAATTGGACTTCTTCAATTCTGAGACACTTTCCATTGAATCTTAAGACAAGCAGTTTTAGAAAACTTAAAATACTTTGACTGTAAATGGCACTGTACATATAAATGGCATCAAATTAACTAAATGCAATTAGCTGAAATGAAGGCAGTAATGGTGGAAAAATTGATGCAAAGTGAAGCAAAATGGCTCAGTAGGATCTGACATTCAAAGGAGGTTAAAAGCTATGTTAGCCAGAGACAAAAGCTAAAAGGCTTGCAGAAGTAAAGTGCTAATTGAGAAAATGAAGACAGAGTTCCTGACCCAGAACTGTGATAAAACCCCTGAAAGGGAAAATATCAGCGCTTTATGTGTTGGAGTATCAGAGAAGGAGAGCTCGTCTTAGATTAACAGCTGAGAAGTGTGATTCAGAAGGATTTGGCTCCTTTGTTCTCCCAGCCACCCAGATTTACTTGGCTGTGGTGCCAGGTCTGCTCTGACTAGAAAGAGCCTCCCACAGCATGAGAAATACAATCGTCTGAGAGAGATGGGTGAGCCTGATGTCTTAAAGGCAGGAACTTGTTAACAAGAAAAAAAAAATCTAGATAAAAAGAGCTATACAAAGCTCACATACACTCACAGATGGACATTGGGTAGTATATAGCAATTTTTAACAATACTATTTGGAACTTTGCAAATCAGACATTGAGGTATTATTATTATTACTACTACTTAATAGTGAAAGGAATCCCACTTGGTTTGATCTATGTTTGATCTCATAAGAATTAAAACTATGTACTTCCTTATAGAAGATGCCTAAAGCTCAGCCTCTTTGCCTCATTCATTGGACAAATGCTTTTGGGGTAACTCTTTTACATGGCAGAAGCTGTGTTGGACATTGTATAGGGTATGTGCAAATATAGTCATAGATCCCTTTATATTCACATGAGATTGGTTCCAGGACCCCCATAGATATCAAAACCTATAAATGCTCAAGTCCTGTGTATAAAATGACATGGTATTTGCATAGAGCCTACCAACATCCTCCTGTGTACTTTAAATCATCTCCAGGTTACTTATAATACCTACCTACCATAAAGTAAATTCTATGTCACTAATTCTTATCCCATATTGTTTAGGAAACAATGACAAGGGGAAAACAGTCTGTACCTGTTCGACTATGATGCAGTTTTCTTTTCAAATATTTTCCATCAGAGATTAATTAAATTTATGAATGTGAAACTCATGGGTGCAGAAGGCAGATTGCACTGCACTATTTTGTACAAGGGACTTGCGCATGGACTTTGTTTCCATGGGATCCTATAAGCAAGCACCCTGCTTCAGATATTGAAGGACTGTTGTATACAGAAGGGCATTCCTGCTCTTGGGGAGCTCACAGTCCAGTTGTGTGAGAGAAACCATTACAATGTCACTGAGTGGGGGCATTCAGTGGCAGAGATGAGCCATGATTTTAAAAGAACATGGAAGGGGTCAGAGGAAGAGGTCCTGCCTTAGAAACTGGCTAAGCTAGGCCTATTTTAATGAGTTACAAGTTGGAGTGGTTGGACAGATGCTTCATGTACAGTAGTTAGATTTATGGCAGGCAAGTGCTATGAAGAAATCCGGATGGGCAGAAGGCAGGAGAGAGCAACTGAGGAATTTTAAGCAGAGGAATGACATGAGTGAATTTTTAAAAGACAACAATGGCAGCAGGGCAGAGCTGTGAGGCACTTCTCAGGCAGCCGTCCTCTCCCCACCAATGACCAACTCTCTCCTTCTTTCTACCACCTGTTCTCCAACTCGCCTAACTAAACCCAAAAAATAAGCTCATAAATAGGCTCCATAATGCATTTCCTCTCCGCAGCATTGCCAACTTCAGTCTTCTTCCAGAAGGTTGGGGGAGCCAAGGCAGGGTGGGTGTATTTTTTCCCTGCCCATCTCAGTGGACCAATCTAGTCACGGCACTATCATACAGGCAGGTGACCATGGCTTGGTCAAATAGTGGGGCAAAACAAATCCCAGGAGTAAATGAATCTGCTTGAACACAAGGGAACCTCCACAAGGGCAGAGTGAGAGAGATGTGCTGCAGTATCATACATCCTGCTAGAGTTTTGGCTTATGTACACCCTTCGTTTCATTTACTTGGTTTAAATGAGAATGTTGGGGGTTGGGGACAGGGATCTTATGTAGGCAGTCAGGTAAGAAAAGAAAACTGCCCACTATCACTCACTTCCACCCAGACACTGTTGATACAGGTGATCAGACACAAGGACGTGCTCACATATGCATGGTGAAAAAGTGCCTTGCAAACACATAAGTCTCCTGGGCAGCAAACAAAACATCCTGCTGTCCACTGAGGCTGAGCATCACATTCACACTTACATCAGGTGAGGCATAAGAGTCAGTGATTTCTATTTGCAGAGCAAACAGTGAAACATGAGTTGTGTGTTTAGACCAGGTGGTGGCAGGAGGAAATGTTCCCACTGGGGGTAATTAAAAGCAAAGCCAAGAGTCAATCCTCACCACTCCGCAAGTGTCGACGTTGCCAAAATGGCACATTCTAATGAGCCTCAAAAAATGCAACCTTGCTTCTCCTTGAACCAGAAGTACATCAAATAGAAGCTGGACTCACAGTTGACAATCAGGCTCTTGGGGTGTGTTTAAGAAATTCATAGAAACATTAACATAAGCTAAGATAATCAAATTTAAAAAGAACGAGCAAAAAGAGTTGCTAGGTTATTTGCCAAAACCACAGCTTTATTTTCATCAAGCAGCAATAGTGACCAAAGCATCATCAACCAACCAGAAGTCCCGCTGCTCAGATGATGAATATGAAGACATCAAAACTACTCCATTTGATGTTTGTGTTTACCTAGTTGCTGCTGAAATGATCTTAAAGTCACATTAAAATAAATTTCTCTTAGACAGTGAGACCACTTTCTATGCAGTCTGGGTACAATTGTGCTTCCAATCTACCATCAAAGGTACCAAGGTCAACTTGCATCATAGCTTTGTCTATTTGACAATGCATTCCAGACATCTACTATTCAAATAAGTATGGCTTGGCAGCCTTCCCCCAGTCAAATGTCAACTTGCAGAAGTTTAGAATAGGAACTCTGCGCCTTTCCTGGGCATTTTCTTTCCACGGGATATCTAGGTTCTTCATGCTCAGCTTAGAAAAGAAATGTTGTTTGGTGGATCTTGAAAGGAAAGAAACAAAGGAGCATGTACTTTGGCCACACTCCCTAATGCAGTTCTTTGTCACAGCAGGAGATGGCAACTTCATCTATTCCCAAGCTGATGAAAATCAGAAGGGCAAAGTGGCCCGCCTGGTGAGCCCTGTGGTCTATTCCCAGAACTCTGCCCACTGCATGACCTTCTGGTATCACATGTCTGGTTCCCACGTGGGCACCCTTCGGGTCAAACTGCGCTACAAGAAGCCAGAGGAGTATGATCAGCTAGTCTGGATGGCCATTGGGCACCAAGGAGACCACTGGAAGGAAGGGCGTGTCTTGCTCCACAAGTCTCTGAAACTCTATCAGGTATGACCCCCTTTCCTAGGTTGGAGAGGAAAATAGGTTCAGGAAGCTGGGATAATATTTGGAAGGTTATGCAAATGAGATGCAGGAATTCTTCCAAGAAATGATTTTAGGTATTTCCCAAACCTGAGCTATTGCTGCAGGGATAATTATCTCCATAGCATATTTCACAGTCTTCTAGTTTATAAGAAGAGAAACAACTTGTGGAGAAAAGGGAGAGGCTTCTTTGTTATCTATTTTGGAGCTGTCACAAGATATCATTCCTGTTATTTGCTGGTTTTCCCCCATTTTAAAGTTTGTGTTATAGAAAGAGAATGTAAGGAGAAGTTCTCTGCCATCACCAGGCAGTTGATATGGATTGATGAGCAAAGTGTGTGCTTATGCGATATCTCATGAATTTAATTTATGTGCCATTGCTTTGGCTGAACAAGCATTTGTAAACACTGCTATTTGGGATGAGCATTCAAATACTGTGAAAATGGTCTCATTTTGTTAGGTGATTTTTGAGGGCGAAATCGGAAAAGGAAATCTCGGCGGGATTGCCGTGGATGACATTAGCATTAATAACCACATTTCACAAGAGGACTGTGCAAGTAAGTACAGGTTTGATGTAGAAACAATAGAGCACTTGCCATTGATAGTCACTGTCTTGCTCATTTAGAACCAAAATTCAGTGTAACCTATAGGCATATTCACATGAAATGCATATTCTGGTGCAATGGGTTTAAAATTGAGCCAGTCTACCATACCCTAGCCTCTGACCTAACCTAGTTTATTTAGACTGTCTGATTGGTGCGTCCAAAACTTGGTCAACAATGTGGATTCCAAAGATTTTATCAAAGCAGAAAGACTCAGCTTACAAACTACATATGGCATACCCAAACATTTTGATAAAAAGTGGAAAGCTCAGACATCTGGATAATTCCAAATATCTGAGTGTATAAACAAAACAGCAGGCTTTTGAAAATTTTGATCACAGTGAATTTAATAAGATTATATTGTTAATGAATCACAGAAACCAACATTATTTGCTTTATTATAAATAAGTAGATGTTTCTGACTCTAAAGAAAGCTGAAATGACTTGAAGGATAAATGAATTCAGAGACTGCCTACTATTTCGGAGTTGATCTGTATGGGTCTGGTACTATATGCATAAAAATCTGACATAGAAAACCAATTCATATTCCCTAGTTCTTGATATATAATTACAAATAGCATCACTAATGGCAATGTAATAGCACAGTAATTAGTCTTAAGCTCCATTTGCTACACTTAAACTTTTGTTATATATCATTATATAATAGGACGTTAATTATTCTGAAAATGGAATAAGCCTATTGGGCAAATTTAAGACAAAGGAGGCCTGTTGGCTTTAATAGATTTTTGGTCATTTCATCAACTGCAAAGCTTTTATTATACAATATATAGAATGTATATAATTCCTAAAGTAGCAATAATTTGATAGGGTCAATTGAAGAAATTGTGTGGGGGGGAATTCAGATCTGTTTTTCATTGTGTGTAAGGAAATCTATTTAATGCCATACCCCCTTGCAGATCTTCACACAAATGATACAGTGTAGTATTTCAGTTGCAGCAGTTTTACAAATCACCCATGTCCAAGTCTACTGCAATTAAAATGTGTATTTCATATCGTTACACAGTGCATGTAATATCGTTGCTTTCCCATTCCAAGTTGAGAATAATGCTGGTGATATTTTAGGGATGTGAGCACAAACTAAAACAAAGAAATAAAATTAATTCAGCTCAACAAGCTTTAACTGATCACACACTATATGCCAAGTGCCACTGTGAGTGTAGATTAAGACAATTCTGTGAGCCTTTTGCTTTTTGTGATTTGTCTGCTTAGCTGTAGGTGCTAGCAGCTATTATCCTCAGAAAATAAAAACCAGAGTTCCATTTGAGTACTTTATTTACTTGTCAAAGATAATTACATAATTATTCTTCAAATACATATTCGTGAACATCTAGCCATGGGTGATATTACAGTATAAACTAGTTATTAATTATTCATTCATTCATACAACAAAAATTTATTAAAGCCCCTATTATGTGCATACATTATTCTAAATTCTAGACAGTATTCTATAGCAATGAACAAAATGCTCAAAACTCTCCCCTATACTCAGTACTGTGAAAGATATTGGGACTTCACTTCTTTCAGAGAATTCTATTTTATTTTATTTATTTTTGATAATACACATGATACAGTCTCTTGCCTCAAGAGTTACCTTGCTTGACTGGGGCTGTAGCTCAGTGACAGAACACTTGCCTAGCACATGTGAGACATTGGGTTCAATCCTTAGCACCACATAAAAATAAATAAATAAAATAAAACATGCTGTCCATCTACAATTACAAAAAAAAATAAATTAAAAAAAATGAAAGAGTTACCTTGCTATTTGGGAAGCCAAACTAATATGTACCAAACTTAGGAAACAATCATCTATAAACTATAGCCTGGTAACCATAGGTACAACATCACTTCTCTTCCCTAAAGCCAGATTTTCCCATATTCCAGATGCCCAAACTAGGTCTTTCTACCCTTCTCTCTAAAACAACACACACTAATGATAGCCATGCTACCAGGATTTCCATGTGACCTCTCAAAGGGAGTGATGCACCCCGATGCCACCAACTTTACAGTCATTTCACATGGACTCTGTATTGCTCAACAGTGTCATTTGGTAGATTTAGATTGTACTAAACACTTCATAAGGGGGGGCTGGGGTTGTGGCTCAGTGGTAGGCCACTCATCATGCATATGTGAAGCACTGGGTTCGATCCTCAGCACAACATTAAAAAAATTAAATAAATAAAATAAAGGTATATGTCCATCTACAATTAAAACTCCATAGGAAGCCCAGCTGAGGTGTGTGCCCATATTTGTGTGTCTGTGCTGTGTGTATTATATTTTGTTGGCAGTTCCAATATCTTTTCAATTTTGTTTGACTTATCAGAACCAGCAGACCCGGATAAAAAGAACACAGAAATTAAAATTGATGAAACAGGTAAATATGTTTTGTAGACAAATTATTTTTAAACTTCTTGTGCCTTTCATTATGTCTGTGAAGAAACTTCTCTGGAACTCTAATACACTGACATATCAAAGAAGTTTGAATAAAATAAACATGTATGCCTGAGGCAGTGAGTTACTAGATTGGGTTGCAGTCACAGAATACCCTTTCCTAAGCTGCCCATAGGACCTTTGGAGCCTCAATGACAGCTTGGTTTATATAAGTGCAGCTCACCCTGGCCTTTACCTGCCTGAGCTTTATTGCTGAGGGATAATCAAGTGAAATGCTGTTATTTTATAATTATAAAGATAGAAGACTAGTGAAGATTATTTTCATACAATAATTTGACACCAACTCAATTTTTTGTGTTTCATTGATATGCAGGTAAAATCCTTAAGAGTCTAGAGCCCTGGCTGTGTACAGTGGCACATATCTATAATCCTGGCAGCTCAGCAGGCTGAGACTGAGGTAGCTAAACTTATAAGAGGATTGCAAGTTCAAAGGCAGCCTCAGCAATTTAGCAAGGGCCTCAGCAACTTAGTGAAACCCTGTCTCAAAAAAAAAAAAAAAAAGATAAAAAGTACTGGGGGTGTAGCTCAGTGGTTAAATGCACCTAATTTTAATTTCTGGTACCAAAAAATAAAAATAAAAAATAAAAAAATTTTAAAAATAGAGTCTACAGCCCAATTTCTAGAATAATCTATAGCATTTGTTCCATCTTTTGCCATCTTCCTCTACTGGAACCCTGGTTGGTGATGATGATGGCAGTGTTGATAAGGATTTATTGAGGAACCATTATGTTCCAAGCACTTCACATACATTATCCCATTTAAACCTCACGTCAGCTCCACTGGGTATGTTTATCTGCATTTTATAGATGAGACTAAAACTTAAGTGATACAGCTAATTTGATGGTAGCCTTGGACTTTAGTCTGATTAACTCTAAAATGTGTTTCATTTAACATTGCTTTGTGATCAAATGCAAGATATTTGGTCAGAGTTAGGCTTTGCCTGGTGTTATTTTATTCCAAGAAGTTCCTCCTGGCTGGCTCTGGGGGTTGTTGGACACTTGCCCCAACATTACTCATAACTGCTGCAGGCAGCACTGCACCCAGAACATCAGTGTTCATCACCAACTGTTGCCATTAGAAACGTGGTCCTAGATAGCCAGACCTTGTCTCGAGACAAATAAACATGGCACTATGCTGTTGAAAATATTAACACATTTCCAAGTCCACACAGAGACATAAACTTTATTAGACGCTGTTTCAAAACAATATTTCATCAAGGGAGAGAATATTAATATGCCCCCAAGGCTTGTTTTCCCCTGGTTAGGGACTTGCATCTCATATTTTTAGTTTTCGTTGATTGGAATCTTTGTTGATGAGAACATCATTAAGTAAACACCACGCATGTTGCACATTAACATTTTAGTCCTGTTCTAGTAGCAGGTAATTAGGCTCAAAGCTCCCATGTTAATAATTTCTCCTGTTCCACTCTAAAGAAAACATGTCCCCAGTGACTCAGCTGCAGAGCAGTGTGATCGTCTCCAGTGAAACTACCAGCATTGTGGAGATGCTGATTATTAAATGTCTTCAATTCAGCATGACACAGACACGGTTTCTTGATTTGAGCCACAAAACCTTTTATACCAGCATTCTTGTTCTGAAAGATCTGTCCTTCTACAGGGAAACTGCTGTAGAATTGGGAAAACCTTGTTTAACTTGCCAGTTTCCCAGGTGGGAGAATAAACACATAGGTAAACTGAGCCTGACTCTGGGAATGGCTCTTGGAAACTCAACACTAAAAGTGTCCTTGTGCCTTGGATTGTAGTCAGAGACATGCACAGGGAACATTTAACACACCCCTCCCCAACCCACTCCTCCCCCACACACACAGACTAGACAAATGGTGACTGAGTATTTTCCAAAGTGTAAAGATCATGTATCTGGCCCAGGATGATAAACATAGATTACAATCTAGTGCAAACAGAGACTGCATGAAGTCTGAATTAGATTAGAACATAAACCTCACTGTTGATGCAGAATCCTCTCTTTCCGTGTGCTAAGATCTCTGCCTCAATCCCAGCACCCTCACCTCCCACATCTCACTCCCAACAACCAGTCAAAGGTGACAGGCAAAAACTGGAGCCTGGAATTTACTCTAATTTCTTTTCTTTTTCTGGATTTTTCTGTCTGCTCTCATCTGGTCCATCCGTGGTGCTCATGGAGTCAATTTTATTTTATCCCCAGGCAGCACCCCAGGATACGAAGGCGAGGGAGAAAGCGACAAGAACATCTCTAGGAAGCCGGGCAATGTGCTGAAGACCTTGGATCCCATCCTTATCACCATCATAGCTATGAGTGCCCTGGGGGTCCTCTTGGGTGCTGTCTGTGGGGTCGTGCTGTACTGTGCTTGTTGGCACAATGGGATGTCAGAAAGAAACTTGTCGGCCCTGGAGAACTATAACTTTGAACTCGTGGATGGTGTGAAGTTGAAAAAAGACAAACTGAATACACAGAGTACATATTCAGAGGCATGAAGGCAGACGGAGGTGAAAAGACAAGTCGGAGAATCCAAGTGGAAGGACTTACTTTGAGCGTGCTGGGGAACTGTTGATCTGCTTTCACTGTACAGGCTGGGAAGTGCGTTGATGACACTGAGCCAGGCTTTTCTCAGGAGCTTCAATGAGTATGGCCGACAGACATGAACAAGTGAGCTGTGTTAACAATCGGAATCATGTACAGTCAGCTTTCTTCTGTTGGTTTAATTTGAATGATCAGATGCTGGTGTTGAGACCAAGTATGATTGACTTAATGATTCATTTCTACTCCCCCTTCTCCCTTCTCTCTCTCTCTCTCCTCTTCCTTTGATGGATTCTTTTCAGAAACTGTGCAAAATCCAAGATGCTGGCACCAAGTGTATTCAGTGGGGCCCTTTTGATGGACATGCTACCTTTACCCCAGTGTCCAGAATATATTAGCATAACTGCATTTCGGTGGACTCCTGAAGTTGTTCTTGTGTATAATTGCCCACATCGTGCATAGGCAAAGAAGGATTAGGGTGTTTTCTTTTGAAAGTACTGTAGCCTCAGTACCGATATAGTGTGTCAGCTCTGTTTACGAAGCAATACCGTCAAATTTTCTTGATGTTTTCCAGTGTTGTACTAAGTCTCGTGCTCGTGAACTCCAAACAGGAAACCGTGCCATCACCAAACACTGCTGGCAACTGGGTGTACTGCTGACAACCGCGACAAAAATCCTTGGCACTGGCTAGTCGATGTCCTCTCAAGTGCCTTTCTGTTTGTACTGGTTCATTGTGTTACATTAACGACCCACTCTGTTTCTCACTGGTGAAAGCCCTACCCTTTAATCAAACCTGGTGGCCCACTGACCAAGAAGAAAGTATATTTTAGTGTGAGACGTCAGCCCCCCGGGAAGGCAAGGGCTCTGAAGATTTGGCAACGTGGCTTAATTGTTCTGCTTTGTCTGTAGTTCAATTCCATGTCTCTTGACCCTTTTGTATAAAGCTGCAATATTCTCTCTTATTGTTCTTTCATATGGAATGTATTTTCAAATGTAAACTCTTTGCTCTTTCTCTCCTCTTGTCTTTTTTTCTCTCCTAGAATTTAAGCATTTGCCATTGTCCAGAAAAGAAACTTGCAGCTTTAACCTGCTGGTAATGGCAAACAATTTTACTAGACTTTATGTTTAAAAATAAATAAATAAGGGAAATTCCTAACTTTGCCCTCCAAAGTCTAACTTTGGTTTTCTCGTTAACTGGTTAAAGTGACAGTATCTTTTTTCCTTAAGCCATTTGTCTGTCTATTCTGATCAGAATGAGGTTTGATAGAATGTTTGTATTTAATGGAAGATAGTGATAAATTGAGGGAGGAAATAATACTAATTGGCTTTCAAATGAGACCTAAAGGAAGGACTGAAATAAAATCTTCCAAATATCTAAAAAAAAACATGAAATTTTTACATCCAAATATGCAAGAATGATCCTGTGAACCTTCTTGTTTTGATATTGAGTCAGTCAAGGGAAGTGGAAAAGAGAACAGTTAATTTAAGAAAGAAACTATAAATCTTGTTGTCTGGGGGCAGAGTATTTTAAGATAAGGGGGTGGGGGTGGGGGGACCTAAAGTCAAAACAAATGTTTGACAAAAACCAATCCGAAGCAACTCTAAAAAAATCGACTTGAATGAATGCTTCTAGAAACTTCCAGTGGCTCATAAAGAAAAAGCCTGCCTAGGGCTGGCAAGACCTAAGCCCCTAACAACACAAAGAAATAAATATCTCATAGGCAGCATGTTAATGAACCAAAAGATAATTTGGTTGTTTTGGTGTGTTTTTTGTCACACCATGTGTGGATAAGAATTTTTAGATCTTTCTCCTTTCCTGCAGGAATGTTACTGCAGGGCTCATTCAGATACATTTGTTGGGAGTCGCATTTGCATTGTGGACGCCACAGTCCCATTCATCTTGTTTTAATGGGATGGAGAATGCCTTTTGGTTCCAGGAAAGTATCGATCACCGGGAAAGAAGAATAGTTTTTTTGTTCCCAGAGGCATTCATTCAGTTGTTATAATCATACTAGGAGAAAAGCATTAAGTAAGACTTGATTTTGTTTTTAAGGCAACAGACTTCAAAGTTGTCCTCAGCCAAGGAAAAATGATACTGCAACTTTAAATTTTAAAGTATCTTGCACTGATAAATATATTTAAAAATTATATGTTTATAAAGTTATTAATTTGTAAAGGCAGTGTTACAAAATGTTCAGTTTATATTGTTTTAGATTGTTTCGTAATTTTTAAAGGTGTAAAATAACATATTTTTTCTTTATTGAGATCTATAAAACTTTCTGTAGTAAAATGTTTTCATTTTACTGGTATATTATTGCTTCATGTTTTGTACCATCATAAAACTTTGTGCAAATTTTTTTTACAGAAATTTTTATTTTCTATGACAATATGACACTTGTAAATTGTTGTTTCAAAATGAACAGCAAAGCCTTAACTTTAAATGACATTTGTATTCTAAGACTCTGAGTAGCATAAAAACCACATAAAACTGAACTGTAACTTAAATTCCAAACTATGACTACTACATTCCAAAGAAACAGTTGAATTAAACATTTTCATAAAATATCCCAAACCTGATGGCTTTTATTATATTAGCTCTGTTCTTGTTAAAGAAGTTGGTGTCACCCCACCACCCAATAACTTTGAAAAACTTCTTAAATTTTTAAAATATCCTCATAAGGATCAAAGATTAACAAGACATTTCCTGAAAGTAGAATATGAGACCAACTTGGACACTGTCAAGACAAAGGATTCAGAATTTGACTTTACATGTGGAAATTTTCAATCCCACAATGTCCTATATTCCACTTGGTAACATTTGTTTTATGACATTCCCAAATAACTGCTGGTAAGTTTTGGTCATATAGAAAATAAATGATAAATATTTTTATGCATATATTTATGCTGAATTTAGAGAAGGGAAAAGTTGAGAATAGCATTACAACCAGCTATTTGGTAATTCTTGGGAAAATGTCTGATCCGTCTGGGATCAAAATAACTGAAAAAAAATATATAACAAAAACAAAGACAACAGAAATGTTGAGCCAGAGCAGGTGGAGTAGAGTCCTTTAGGAAGTTTATTATAGCAAAATAAACTATATTTTGGCTCGCCCAAACCCCACTGTCCATAGACCAATAATTCTTTCTCTACCCTCCTCTGATTGCAGAAAAACTTAGCCCAGAAAACACAGGGACTCCCTGTGGAATGTACTGCTGTGGATCACTCTTCCCAATGAATCAATATTTCCTCCACTTCCTGCTTTTCTCTGGACACTTCAGGCATCTCCCAAGATTTAACCAAGAATGGAAAATATTCCCTTTTGAGAGGAGTTTTAGGTCTCTCTGCTTTGAGAAGAGTCAAGGATAGAGATAAAGCAAGGTCATCACTTCCCTAAACTTAAATAAATCCTACTGACATTCATAGATGTTTCCAGAAAATATAATGAACCGCAAGGAATCTATCAGAATTAATCCAGGCATATTTTCTGAAAAATGCCGAGGACCAGGAACTAATATTCTTTGTTTCATTGTTTGAGAAGAGTTCAAGCATGGATGCTTTCCCTTCCTTATTGCTAGTTAACTGCTAAGCCAAGCTTTTCTCAGGTTTAACAAGGTAAGTCACTATATAATACTTTCCAAACTCAGGAATTAAACACATCATGAGGATTTGTACATTTAACTTAAAACATGAAAATAATTTATTGTCCTGTCTCCTGTCTTTCCTGATAACTCATTGCTACTGGAGCTGAATTGCACTGTATCTTTGTGCAAATCAAATAGACATTCCTTAATGTTTCCATTCTGTAATGTTTCCGCCTCCCAGTGGGAATTATAACTGTATATGTTGCATTAAAAAGCTGTTCTGCCAAGAAGTAGCTCTTTTCCCTAAACTATATCCACTAAGGGATCTTACGCAGAATTGCAACTTGGGGGTTGAAAAACTTGAATGAAAGGATCATTACATTGCATGAAACTTAGCATCCAGAAGCATGTGAGAACCAGATGATAACTGTTTTGAAACACTGCAAGACAATAGATGGGAATGGATGAGAACATCACATTATCACATACACATAACTTCTAAGCTGGCAAGAAAATCTCTATGAAGTGACCCTGTCATTTTAGGGTAGAATATGGCAATCTTCTGGGGTGATGGCCTTGTCCTTCTTTTTAGAGAGCATTAGCTAATTACACACATCTCTGTGATATAAGTTTTATAATTTTATTTATTCCACCTTATAAATGAGGAATCTAAAGTTCAGAGAGGTTAGGTGATGAATTCAGGATATATTTGGTCTCATCTCCCTTTCCATTTCTCCCACCACTTCATGGCCTGGCAGTAAGTAGCTTGCAAGGTGTTCACTAGGGCCCTGCTACTCAAAGAGTGTCCCATGAGGTAGCAGCAGCAGCACCTGGAAGCCTGTTGGAGAGGCAGAATCTCATACAGTACCCTAGACCCACTGAGTCCATTTTTCTCTCTTATTTTTATTTTTGATGGACACATCACAATTGTACATATTTATGGGGTCCAATGTGATATTTTGACACATGTGTACATTGTGCAATGATCAAATCCAAGCTTAATGAGAGCCCCGGATGACCTGCATTCTCATTTATGTGTCAGAAGTCCCCACACAGTCTGCTGCTGCCTGAACAAGGTGTATGAGTGTCTGCATCACTTGTGGTGGTGGTTTCTAAACATTCAGAGAAAAGGGAGACGCCTCTGCAGTCTTTACAAATAACTTTTTGGGAAAGTCTGAGCAAAAAACAACCAGGAAAATTAATGAATGTGAAATCTCACTCACTTAACCACTGTGTGGTCATTCTGCCTAAGGGCTTGTAAGGGACCTGGAACATGGACTTTTCTGAGAGGAAAGAGATATTGATGCAGTATTTTACTGGATTAAAAATCCTGAAGTGTAAAGAAGCAAAACACTTTTCCACTCATCATAGTATAATCAGGAACAAAGGCAAGCACCAATTTGGGAAGAGCCAAATCCTCCAAAGAAGTTGCCTCAATACCACACAGTTTACCACTGTATGAAGACCAAAATCCTGAGTGGTGAAACTAGACTGATCCCTATTTCCTTGATGATTTCTAATCCCCTTCCTTTGGGTTCATCCAAATAAGTGAGAAAGTATCAAGTAGAACTTTGTGGTTAAATAGTGATTCCCAAGAGCAACTTTTTCTATGGAGAGTGTCTCACCTCCACATCTTAACACAGTGGTACCTATTTTAATATAGGAACTCGACGGGTGGTTAATATTCATAGCAAGAATATGTCACTATTTTATCATCATAGATGGATGTAGCTTGTTCTGGCAAAATGTTGGACCAGAAGCGGATACACTGTCCTGTGTTGGTGCTACTGAATCCTACCTTTTACAGCTTGAATAAGACAGTGACTCAAGAGGACAGAGAGTAGGTTCCTGCATCTTGTAATGCTCCCACCAGTGGTTGGGCATCCCACCTCTTTTTTCAGGGGTGGGGTGGGGTAGTACTGGGGATTGAAGTCAGGAGCACTCAACCACTGAGCCACATCCCCAGCTCTATCTTGTATTTTATTTCAAGACAGCATCTCACTGAGTTTCTTAGCAACTTGCTTTTGTTGAGGCTGGCTTTGAACTTGCCATCCTCCTGCCTCAGCCTCCCAAGCCACTGGGAGGTGAGCACAACTGCGCTCAGCTCCACCTATCATTTGTGACACGAGTCAATTCCATGCTCCTTCTCTAAGGCCCCATCACCATCTTTAAGAGACATGATGCTGTCAGGGCTAATGATCTTGATGTAATTTTGTCAGAAAACCCCTCCATCACCTATCATTGCTCCAATTCTGCCAACTTCTGAAATTTTTCAATGTTGATTAAATTGTATGTTGGCTTTGAAGATAAGATATATTCAAAGCAGACTCAAATCATTATCCTTAGATCTTGCACAATTCTTCTAATATGATTCACACCTTCCTGTTAAAAGGGTCTAACTTTGAGAGTTTTCTATATAATTTTTCTCAGGTTAACTTTCAATTTTCTCTATATTTAAGTCACTGAGTTTCCTATTACAGGTTGAGCATCCTTAATACAAAAATATATGATGCTTTAGGATATAAAGAATTTTGAGTGTCAACATGAGGTTTCAAGTCGAAATAACTTCAGGTGATGGGTCACAGTCAAAATGCAGGAGCACCAAAAATATTACCTTCAGGCTCTGTGTATAAGGTGTACAGGAAACATAAAAGAATTTTGTATTTAGATGCCAGTCCCATCACCAAGGTATCTGTATTAATCAGCTTTCCATCACTGTAACAAATATCCAAGACAAATCAACTTAAAAGAAGGAAAGGTTTATTTTGGCTGTCAGTTTCAGAGCTCTCAGTCCATGGTCACTTGGCCCTGTTGCTTTGGGCCTACAGCAGCACAGTGCATCATGGTGGAAGTATGTGGTGAAAGAGGGCTGTTCACCTCATAGCGGACAGGAAGCAAAGAGGAAGACAAGAAAGGGCTGTCTCAATATCCCTTTAAAGGCACACCTTTCCACTATATGCCCTACCTCCTGAAGGTTCCACCACCTTCTAATAGCTGGGGACACATGGTCCTTTGAGGGGCATTCTAGACCCAAAGTTTAGTGTTCCAAAATCTGAAAAACTCTGAAATCTAAAACACTTCTAGTCCCAAGCATTTTAGATAGGGAGACTCTACCTGTAGTTGTAAATGACAAATCAAATTTCATCTATGAATCAGAGGTTTGGGTGGTTGGAGAGGTCCATGAAGTGGCACCAGTTTGGTCTCTTCTCTGATCCCTAAACACACAGAGCCACTACATTAGCCATGTGTGTTTCAACTAATCAGTGAGCACACTTTGGAACCTACTCTGCACGTATTTCTTAACTCCTCATCATCATGACCAGGAGGAATTTTATGATCCTTACTGGGTACCAGATTTTACTAGATGTCTCAATGAATCCTTAAAACTACCTTATGGTTTGAGGAGAGAAAGAAATGAGATCCAGAGAGGCTAAGAAATGAAACTAATGTCACATAACCTGTTAGAAAGGGTCATTTCCAAGATTCAAACCCAGGTCTGCCCACCACAAAGCTGATCATCCTAATAGCTCCTCCCTGCTGCCTCAGGAGAGTGCAAGAACAGTCTTCTTGTCACAGGTCAATTGAGGAATGCTTTGGAATGTTTTGTACTCCAATCTCACTTGGCCTGATACTAGTTAGCTTAGTTATGCTGTGATAACATAGCTTAACACAGTTAAGTGATAAGAAATAAACTTGCAAATATTAGTGGACTAACCCATAAATGAATATTTTTAAATTTTGTCTTTGAATATTAATTATACCAAATGGATTTCATTGTGGCATATTTAACATGCATATAACATAATCTGATCAATTTCACTCCCCTGGCCCTCCCTCCTCCTTTCATCTGATCTCCGTTTCCACCGTAATCATCTCGTTATTTTTCTCTTTAGCTCTCACAAGAGAAAACACGCGACACTTAAGTTTCTTGAGGCTGGCTTATTTCTCTTAATATGGTAATATCCAGTTCCATCCTTTTTTCT